AATGAAGAAACCCGGGTAAGTGAAGAGATTATTGAAAGATATCTCCTTTTTTCAGTTAGCTAGTAACCAGATGAAGAAATATGGTTGCCATCTGTTGACGTTTTGGATATTACTGCCCAGTGTTTTGCATTTCATTATATCTAGGCCGTGTCATTCTGATTGCCTTTCAGAGTAGAAACTTGCACAGAAGTGCACTTATTACCACATTCCATGTAGCACACACATGTAGAGAAGAAAGAAATTAAATGAAACTGCAATCAGCACAAATGTGAAGAGGAATGAACAGGGGCAAGGAAGAAAATAAGGATGAGGTAGATGTGTGGGATCACGCAGAACGAATACATAGTGCCAATAACAAAGATTTGATGACCTATCCTTAACGGTTCCTCGAACTGACTGTCAACGATTTCATGAACAAATTCCAGGTTTTGCTTCGATAACCCCTGACATTTTTCAACCCATTAATTTGTTGGCTAACATTTTCCGTCATAGAACGCGTAGGCTTGGCAGGCATCGAACATGTCCTAGAGATCTCAGTCAATCTAGCTTCACTACCTGATCAACTGACATACCCTCCTTAGCTAATACTCGACGCCTAAGCCCAATATTACCCACCATTATACTATACCACTTAACACGGGACACAGGACACAGAAACCAGTGAGCAAGCACAGATAGTCTTTTTGTATCTTCCGCCTTCAGTGTCCATGTCTCACAGACTGGGAGGACAGTATCATCGGCATACTCCGAGTTGACTGGAGTGCTACCAGGTTAGTCACTAAAGTCAGTTACAAACAATTCCATCAATACATGTATGATGAAATTAAACCCAAATAAGGACAATCGTAGGAATCAGCTTTGTTTACTATCCCTCTTGAACATATAAATCACGTTATAGTTTAGTTTTAGTAATAAATGAAGACAGTTCATTCTCTAGGATTCGTGAGATTCATTCACTCACGTATAACTTTTTCAAAAGTTTGAGTCAAGCAAGAACAACAGTGATTTGTGCAGAATAATATAGTACCACCATTTATTTCGTTGGCTTCTCATCATCTACTTACACCCTAAATAAACTATTAAGTTTATGTACAGAAACGTTTGAACATACTTGCAAACTTTGCATGATGTCAGTTGACAGGAGGTTCTGCACTTAGTGAACAGTGCCCAGATAATCACGCTTATATAGTTTTTACACAGGCAATTCAATTCTAAACAAAGTAAATATATGAATGCAGTGGCAAGGGAGTTACGTAGTAAACAGAAGAAATGCGTAAAATGATTAGCAACTAACAAAGTAGTTAACAGTGCACTGAAATCGTGGAAAACAGACAAGGAAAATTACACAACATTAAAGGGGAGTGAGGTTAAAGCCAAACATTACGTAATTGAATGAAAGAAAGAATGAAGACATCTAGTGACCATGGCGAGGAAAGACGTCTACCTGATGACCCGTATCAACGAGATGACACTGTTTAAAACATTTGTTCCCTTTAGACATAGGCTTTTCGGTACATGTTCAGAAAGTCGCAGATATGTCCCTCTTTCTGTTCTCCCATGTAACTGCTCCTACAGATACATGTAAATTTGTATATACAGTTGGAGTTAACATGAGAAGGATGTCTGTCGACTGTTGATTACACCAAAGAGCAAGTTGTTCGATAAACGGGAACGAGCTTAGCTGCAGGACAGGCTTTGGCTATTGACGTCCTCAATCTTCTGTTGATAATTGCTATAATATTGTCACCTTTAAAATCAAGTTGAATGTAGATTGGATTTTTTCCACTGTGATTTGTTTGACGTTTGAGTCTTCATATCTTCTATATTTGTTAATGAATCTCTGAGTGTAACCGTTGTTTTTCAACATCTTTTCGAGAATTATATTTTCTTCCTGGAATTTCTCTGTAGAGTATATTCTCGTTGCTCCATAGTGTAGACTCTTGACTACTGCTCGTTTGGGGCTATTTGGACAAAACCTAATAAAATGTAAGTATTGTCCATTCCATGTCAGCTTTCGGTAAAATGATCTCGGGAGACTACCATCTTCTAGGCGTTGCATGGTAATGCCAAGGAAATGGAACTTTGCGTCATTTTCATGTTCCATAGTGAATTCGGTATTTGTATGTCCGTCGTTGAATAATCTGAGTAGGTAGGAAGCATGACTTTCATTGTTGTACACTATAAATGTGTCGTCTACATAAAACAATAAGCAGTTGTTTTGTTGATTGCACGCTTCAACTTTGTTCTTTCAAGGTTGGAGATGAATATATCTGCTAAAACAGAGCTAAGTGAACTGCTCATAGCTACACCATCTACTTTTCGGTAAAGAGTGTTGTGAAACCGAAATTGTACACCCATGGTGCACATCAGCAGCGGGCGTCTGAATTCCGATTATGGAAGTGGTAGAAGATCAGACTGCTGACAAATGATCTCAATAGTTTCATTGATTGCAATCATTGTGAACAAGTAGGTTGCATAAAATGACACCGTAAACTTACTTAAAATGTCCGTGTGGTTGACACTTTCAGAAAAGTGAAATGAGTCTTTCATGGTGTGCACGGCTAGCCGTTGATGAATGGGTTCCAACTTCTCCACAAGCCAGCGGGCAACCTCATGTTGTGGTGAGTTGATCATCGAGAGTATAGGTCTCAGAGGGACTTCTTTCTTCCGTATGTTAGGAAGGCCATACATGTGTGGCAAGTGGGACCCCCGGGATTTCAAATCAATGGACGTATTGTTGTCAGTCAATTTCTTCTTTAGAAGACATCCCAGTACGTTTGTGATGCCTTTTCAGCTGCATCTGTTTTGTCTTCCTGGGATTCGTCGAGTTTAAACCTCAACGAGTCATTCAGCACAGTTTCCATCTTTGCGATGTGGTCATCTCTGTCCATCAGTAACACTCATGGGACTTTGCCAAGTCGCAGTATGACGATTTTGTCATCATTCCTGAGAGCTTTCAATGCTTTTGATTGCTCTTCACAGAGTATTTTAGAATATGGCGATGGTGAAATGAGGCACTGATTTGCAAAGTCAACCGGCTAAGATTTGAACCAGCTCTTCTTGACCTCATGAACTGGAGTAAGGTCGTTCAGCAGATGGAATAAGTTTTCGAATTGAGCTGCGACATCGGTTCTTTTCACAAAATTATTCGGGATATGAAAGTTAAATCCGAGAGAAAGCACTCCCATTTCAATGGGGCCTAAGTTCAGAGTTGACAGATTGCAGAGAAACTCCTCGGAATTTTATAGAAAGACGTCATATAATTTCTCCTTTGTCAGGGATTTCGACAGAGCTGTAGAAGAATTTGCACATGTTTTCTGTTGGAGCTCTTGAATGAAATTAATGAATTTAATCCGGTATACTATATCCATACTACTGACGACACCACGGAAGGTTCGGGCTTCAGTTTTCAATTTTGAGATCAGAGATTCTGTTGATTCGGTAAGCGATTTCGCAATACTTCGAAGGTTTTCGACAGAGGGCGGTAATTTGCAAGTACGCAGAGACTTGATGAAATGGCAAGGAAGCAGTGGTACTGCAAGCATTCATCGTAAAATTTTATTCGAGTCACTTCTCTGTATATTCTGCAACGGATTGTCACCAAGCGATTCAGGGATTTGAAAGGTTCTGCGGCGGGGGCAATTTTTGAAAAACTTCAAGAAATAATTCCCCTTGATGAACTTAAACAAAGCAAAAACAACAGTGGTTTGTGTAGAAGTCAAAAGTTTCAAAATTCCTAGCTAATGTTTCCTGATTGAAGTGGGAAGTGGATACTGTAGTTGTGTAAATTCAATAAGTGGCGAATTGTCGGCAGTAAAAATAACGGTAATTCTTAAAATTATGCCTTCTACTTTTGGCTTGATTGAAACCTTCAGCAACTCTTAAATGAACACCTGGCGAACATGTATAAGACTTAGTGAAAAATGTACACTTTTGGTCTCATTATGATGGCTTCATGCCAGTATTACAAGAGGGGCCTACATAGTTCACAACTTCACCCACATAACACTGAAGGGGAAAAACTTTTGTTCGTCCTTACTGGACCCAATATATGGACTCTCATGAAGTAATTGCTGCTTGCTCTTAACTTATATTGAAGCGACGAAAAAGGCCTTCTTGATCTTTTACTTCACGTGAAGTTGCAGTGCAACTAGACGCGCTACAGCATCTATGCAAACAAGCCAAGAAATAAAGTCTTCCATAGCCTGTGAAAAACCTGTCTGTATTCTGACTAAGATAAAAATAATCTCCCTTCACGTGTAAGCCTATGTTATGTTCATGAAATCGGAGTCTTTGGCAATTAAATTCTTCCCCAAAATAAAGGCCATTTAAAATATACGTTCACCAAATCACCACATATTATATTCATAGTGTTTATGCTTTGTGTCTCAAAATGGCAAGCAGACTGTGCTTAGTATATGAAAACAGAAACTAATGCTGAAAAAGCACTGTAAATGCTAACAACTACCCAACCATTTAAAAGAATAGCGTTTCATTAAGTAGGCCGAACATACTAGCATGGTTTCATGAAAATTCAGAAATACATGGTTAGATTTAAATAACTATCTTCTTGAATCTATTGCACTGTGTGGATATCAGTATCAAGTGACATTTACTTACACAAGTGCAGCAAATGTAACGCAGTCCAAGTACATTTTACCGCCCAGATTATGTACGTGAGAAGGGATTTTAGCACGAAATTTCATTAATTAGCACACAGAAGGTGTGGCTTATCAAAAGAAACGAACTGCAGGTGCTCAATAAGCGGGGATATGCAAAAACGGCACTCGTAATATTTCACGTTTATGTCTCCGGCTGCTGATCCTGCCGAAGCTATAGGAAACAGTTTGCTTTATTGACAACATGTTAGATTAGCTAATAATATAAAAGTGTTTCATCATGATGAAAAAGGAATGGACAAAACAATTTATATATTTCACCTATTTTATATTGAACATTTGAACGTTCAGCCTTGACTAGTGTAGTTGTTTTCGCTGAGCGGTATTTCGTGGTCACGACCTTGAGCACGAGTATGTAATTTATGTTTCAGAATGACCAGCGTTGGTCGTCTTATCGAGTGTGTAGTGCCAGTAAAATTGAATAGAAGAGTAAGTGGTATTTCATGCTTGATGAAGTTTTTCTAGTGGAAAAGAAGACTTTGTACACTCGAGCGGACATCAACGTTTACAAGTATTACGATTTCCTTTTGATCTTATTTTTAAGATACACTGAAGCTGTTTGTATTCAATAACGATGGAACAATCTGTCGCAGTCAGGACGTTCATGCATATATACTAGGAGTAGATTCAAAACATGATGGGACGATCATGTTTGTCTGTACGTACAAATTACGATGCATATCATTTGAACACTTCGAAGAGATGACGAAGTGGGATGACATACTTAAAGCGAACTTGACGTGTAAGTTTTTTTCAAGTGCAATGTCAGCAGTACGAACTGACGGTATGATCAGTTTAATAAATTTTTGATCGGGCACCAGGTCATTTACATAAGTCTAGGCCTCAATTAGTAATTAATGGTCATTCGGTAACCATACCGTTTCATTTTACACTATCTTCTATGGTCATTTAAATAAATTTAGCGATTTTTTTACTATATAACTCAGCTACATTATGTTCCTCTCTTTTTAATGAATTACTTTATACATGGTATCCAGGTCTGGCGTCAAACAGTGTAAGTATCTACGCGGAACTCGTTGATTTTAAATTGATTTCGTATGTCTGGCAGTCTCAGTAGTTCTTTTGTATACTTTTGTGCCTTTAAGGTATATTAACACTCACAAGTCTCAAAGTATGCTTCTGTGTTGTTAAAATATTCAAGATCTCAGATTCAGATTTCTTTGCTGCGGATAGAAGGTTTGGAGCCTATTTTAACCCTTTTCCAGTAAACTTCTGTGGTTGTCCAAACCCTTCTTAAATGAATCAGTTGAGGTTGCAGACACTTCTTCTGAAAGTCGGTTCCAAGAGTTTATGACTGGATGAGAGAACCAGTACCCAACAGCAATATGATTTCTTCTTGGTTTTTAAACTCTCCTGCTATGTCCTCTTAGGTGTTCCGACCTGGCGGGAAGGAAAAGAGAGAATAGGTCAGGTCTGCGGGTGTGTTGGATAATTTTGATAATTTTTGTCCCACCTTTCGTCTTTTATTTTTCACAATAGACTCCATATTAGTTTTAATAATATCCATCTACCGGGTAGTACTGTATCGCGCAAACAGTTTTCGAATGAATATGTGGTTTAGAATTTTGGATCGTGTTAAAAATACGGGAATATTAAACTTTCCGAATTTAGTTGTTTAAAATCAACTTTTGAGTAATATTGAACGTGCGCACAAAGGAGTGGATAGCTTTTATTTAAATTTAATTGCAATAGACAAGTTATAGCAAATATTGTCATTTAACATAGTTTGATTTTGCTTCGCGATCGTTGACTGGCTATTAATGCTATGTTATGTATCTTTTGCCCAAAAATGGGCTCAAGGCCCAGTAGTTGAAGACTTAAGTCCCGTTCCACCTACTTCAGCCTGTGTGGTTGGGTGGTATTATCAATCCTCGCAAATGAAGCGCTGTTCATAGTCGGACACCTAAGAGCCTGTTCTGAGTCACTAACTTGCTAACTAAACAATTAGGAAATTTCGTTTCTCCGTGTTTAAGATTACTGAAATATGGGTGACATTTTTAAACCCTGAATTATCTCGTTCACTGAGTACCAGGAGACTAATAGAGTAGAAATCATAGCGTCATAGTAGAATGCAATCTGCATAGGATAAACCATTATACTACAAATAATAGTTGTAATATGGAGTATACTTAAATAACATTTTAAATATAGCGCTCCTTTTTATTTCGATCTCCATGGTGGTTAGTTATTTCGCTGCTAGCCGAATCGAATTGTTATTGTTAACTTTTTGCCACGGCCTAATACATCGTTATGTGCCCTTGAAAACCTAGCTCATTTCATATATGAACAGGTGTACTTTAAAGCTGTCTTTAAACTAATCCCATGCGTTACTCATTAGCGCGTCTCTGTATTGTAACCTTGTCGTTTTGTTTTGACATTTTCTGTTATCTTATCATTTCATGAAGCTTTTTATTTCTTTTAAAGAGTGATAATAAAATGTATGACTCGTTTACCTTACCCTAAAACACCATGTTCACATCATTTATTTATGTAGACGAAAACAAACGGATTCGGACTAAGCGATTTACTTGGTGATAAGCTTCAACTTGTCTCTGTATTAGCTAATAATTGTCAGTGTTCTTACAACAAGACACATTTTATCAACATTAAATTCAACCATATTGCCTAGTAATAAAACTGAGGCAAGCGATAAGAATATATTAATTTCACTTGAATGTCATAATGTGCTTTAAGAGGAAGGAAGGGTAGAACAAGCAAAGAAATATTTTAGATTTCGGTTGAAAGTAAAATATTAAATTATCTACACCACTTATCTCAAACTTGATATCCACTTATCTCAACTTGATATGATTATGAGCAATAGTTTATGCTCGAAACGCCATCAGTTAATATTACTGTACAACACTGTGTGATTTATCAAAATAAAATCTTATCCATAATGGAGTTATGCTCTACCACAGTGCCCAAGTTTTATACTTATATCAATAATACTTATCTCAAACCTTTCACAGGGAAATTACTTTGTAGTTGTTAATTGTGTGATTAAAGCAAAAAGTATGTAGGGCCACCTGTTAGTGTTGTGAGCACTTTCTAAATGTGAATTATGACACTTCAGGTCGATTATCCTTCAGACCTTTCTGGATACATCGTTTCGACATTTACGTTAATAAACGGTCACTTTATTAGGTATGAAGTTGTGAAATAATATAATTACTTCAATTGGCATTTTTAAGCTACTATCTATCTAGTTGTGTCTATAAAATAGAATGCTTAGATTGTGATGCGATATACATCAAACATCTTGGGAAATCAAAATCAGAAGAATTGAATGCCGTAGAGCGTCTGTTCGATCACTGAGAAATCCAGTTGAACTAAAAAAGCTTGAGAAATCATCAGCCATAGGTCTACATGCTATGGAATCGGGCCACAAAATTGATTTTGACAATATTGAAATCACTCGGAAAAATTTCAGAAATCACAAAAAACGTCTAATATCAGGGGCACTTAGTATCAAATGGAATCCAGATTGTCTGAATAGGAGTGATAGACTAAAACAGAATTTGACCTGGTTATAACACCCCTTCCCCCATGAAATGATAAAATCAACACGAATGTGATAAATAATTTCATTATGTAAACACACGCTGCTTTTATACACTTATCAAATCCAACAATCTACAGATGGTTTTGTTATCTTTACCAATTGGTCAACTTGACAATGCAAAAATGACCCCATGTTGAGGAACGATGATTAAATCGTTGTATATAAGCTGAGATTTTGTAAATTCTGGCTTAATAATACTTTCCTAAGGCTATTAGCATTGAATAGCGAAACGTCAGTAAAAACAATATCGTTTTGTTTTACATTCATTGGGAAATACAAAAAGACCTTTATTATGATGTACAGTATACTATTATTAATTCTTTCCTGTTATATTAGTAGTATATTGCTTTTTGTGGTATTTAGGTTCATACTTCCATGCTGATTTAATTGTTGCTCCTAAAAACAGCCTTCTGCATAGTTATGCATGTCATAGAAAAAGATTTCGAATTACTGTCAATGGAAAAAGTCAACCGACTGTTTCTCCAAAAAAATTGTGTTATGGTGTATCGAATACGTCAACTGATGGCTATTTACATGTGACTCGTGATCGAATATGTTTTACCACTGGACCAGGGTGTTCTCATCCTCGTTTACTGGCTACTTGGACTTTTGACAATGATGAAATTGTGCAATGTGGTACTGCCCGCATTCGAAATCCTGTAAATGGAAATTTTAACGACCCTCCATCGTTGTTCTTTCTAACTGCTTCTCCTGATCATCCTGAGGCTCCTGGATGTCACCTGTTCCTGTCTGATCGAGCCGGTGATCTATGTGATATAATTGAACATACCAACAGAGCTGCAGTTTATCAAGCAGACTGGAGGCGGTTAACGTGCATGGCTGCCCTTATTGATCCTCCATTATCTCTGAAAGAATTTAATTTAAACCAAAATGGCTATGTTTGTGATCCAACTAAACTAAACATGAGTTTCTCTTGTGCAAATACGATTAAAGATATGGAAGTTAGCTCTTACTGCAAAGGTTCAGATAAATGTACTGGTGATGAATTTGTTGGTGTGAGCATGAGATCAATACCTGCTGCTGAATCAAGCTCAAAAACTGAAGTGGTACAGGTAATATCATAATTGTTTTCCTACTCGTTTACAACTTGATATCTGGTAAACTTCAACTGTATAATGTTTTGCTCTTTATTCTCTGCTCTGTACAATTAGCTGGTTTACGTGTTCACGGATTTCATTCACTTAAAATAAATCGCCATTTGTCTACATTGACAACATAATTTGTAGATGAGCTAACATGGCGAATATTTTTACTTATAACTATAAGAGATAATCTCATTGTATTCCTTGTAGGAAATCGGCAAAATTTTATCTTCAAAGTAAAGTATGATATCACTTAACTACTCATTTACGAAATAAATAATAAATTAAGTTTAGCTTCGTCTTCCTTTGTGACTCTACATAGAAAGAAAAACGACCACGTAACTGTAGCAACATCACTTTAACAGTGAACGTACTATATCTCTATAAGAGATGTTGACTTAGTCTACGGTAGAGTTATTTCTGTTCAAATTTCTATGAAGTTATCAGTGAAGTACATGTTAAGTATGTTTTAGTGTTAAAGATCATCCTTTTTTATATCTCCCCCTAAATACAGAAAAGAATTGTCTGTATTAGTCGAATTTCTACTGGAACATAGTGATGAATTCTTCACTTAGACTGTATGTACAGTTCTTCTTAGTGAAATGATCTTAACTTTTTTCAGCAATCAATTCTTAGATAACACCTACGGCATTTTTTGAATAATCTTATACGCTTTCGGTATTGTAAATAAGCTTTTTTTAAACCTATTTGGTCTTATTTTGGTAATATATGTCTGCATCTCTGCTAACTGCTCTAATAGGTGGGGATTCATACTGATAATCAGGTTGATGAAGACTCCAGAAATATAACGGGAAGAATTGGTGTAGATTCACATCCTGTTTCACTTTGTGATCGAAAGAAATGGTAAGTTTTATCTGCTGAATTATTTTACCATGTGGTTTTAATAATCTGCATTTATATCGATTAAATTTTGTGATTTAATACCCCTACATAATGGGAAAAACAACATTTCGTGGTCAGTTATGCCATGAAATGTTTTGAATAAATCTCTTTAAGACTTTTGAGTCCTAAAAACATCCGGTACCATTAATCGAATCCGCTCTTATGCTGTTTACAAGTGTTATGATTTTCTTACACAACTTAGGATAATAGACACTTACATAGAATTTTGTACCTACTATGTTCTTTTTGGTTGTTGGTTCATTAAGAGTGTCGAAAACCCACCAGATTACCAAGACTCGAAAATACTTTTCGAGTCCTTTGAAATATATATATCATTCCTTTGCATTCCGAGGGGAACATAAAGCTTCAAGCTTGAGTTTTAAAGTCTCAGCAGTGGTGGCATATTTCTTTACGGGTTCGGGTTGATACCCATCACATCCAGTCTTCCCTCTGCATCGGATTTACTGCCGACTAAGTGAGATTGAGGAGTGCGTCGGCCTGGGACACCAAGCTCATGGATGGAGACCATTCTAGCACTGAACGACCGAAGCATATATTGCTAAAGTCGCAAGTCGGTGAGATGAACCCACCAAATAACCAAAAGTGGTCCCATATCATCCTATCCTACTACATGTGTTATTCATTCGATGTTTTGTTCAACTTTATTAATGGAAAGAAATAATATATGAGAAAATTCTTATTTATTTACATGGTACAATGAATGATATATATGTGTGTTACGCGTTGGTGTGAATAAATCTTGTCTTGTGTGTGTAAACCCTAAGTTCGAAAATCTTCCGACTATGTGTACAGACAACAGCATACAACATATATGATTTTCTAGAAAAGTAAACAAAGTTATTTCTGTACATATTTAATCACATATTATAGGTAATTCTTTTTTATCTGTCTGTGTAGACTGAAATATATGTATATATATACTAGACGAGTAATAGTTTTAAGTATCAACTCTTCTAAGTTGAATGTCTTCATTAAACTCTTTTTTTTTAAATATTAATTTATTATATGCTTGTGGGTGTGCTTATAGAATTTTCAGTACATTTCTTAATATACTCATTCATACTATTCTTATCATTTCTATCGTTGGTAGTGTATGCAGTTCTTGTGGTCTCGATTGTTCCACCACCAACTACCACTACTACTGCTAGTACTACTACTACTCACATTATTTTCTTATTTAATGTCTGTGTACGTGTTTTCTGTTTATCACATGGTTCAGTTTAGTGATAATAATAAATCACCATATTTATCTTCCGATCATTTGCTCTTTGAGTTTCACATGATATATATATATATATATGTTCTTAATGAAGACTTGTATGGCTAGCCAGACAAAGAGGCTTGTTATTGAGGTGACTGCTCTATCGACACATAAACTATTTTGTGCATCATAGATTCGAGTCGAATAGTTTTATAGAATATTGTACATTGGATCATTTTAGCAAATTTCCAACTGTAGCGTTTACATGTATATATATACATATATATGTAATAGTACAAAAATAGCAGTTTCTATCATGGAAATTATGGTTGCACACATTATTAAATTCTCCGCATAGTTTCTTGCATAATATGTTTACTTTCCGTATGGAATCTTTGAGTAAAATATTCATCGATAGTATATCGTATGACACACAGCATTGTTCCACATGAAACAATACTCAATCTTTCACAAAATTTCCCCATTCACATTTTCTTCTTGAATTGTACTGTACAGTGGTAGATGTGAAGCCATTTAAAGATGATTGAAACAACAAAAAACGGAGAAAAGTAGATGAATTATGCTAAATGAAAATCTTGGTAATCTAGTGGATTAACCAGGCTGTTATAAATTTCCAATTTGAAAATGAATAAAATTGTTTTATACCTAAAAATAAAAAACAACAAAAACAATTCAACTCCAAGAATTTTAAAGAATAAGAAGGTTTTAAAAATCTTTACTCAATGGTATCTAATTTTGTGAAAATTATTTACGCCTGTAAGGAATAATCCATCAGAATGAACTGTCCACTTTCACTGTTTTCGAATTTGAATAAAGCAAGAACAACAGTCTTTGCAGGATACAATGGTACCATCATTTATTTCGTTGGCTTCTCATCAGTTGCTAACAGGATAAAGTCATTATTAAGTATATCTACAGAAACAACTTTAACATGCTTGCACAGAGTTCATTTTTAAACAAAAATTAATCAATATATGCATAGAATAATCATATATATATATATATATATTATAGTACTAAATACTATTCCGACCAACAATGATCATACACAATGGAAACTTTCGACATTACGTAATCCGATGAAAGAGAGGGTGAAAATATCCAGCTACCAGGGCAAAAGTACGGAAGATCTGAAGGCTCTCAAATGTCAAGCAAATCACAGTGGAAAAAAATCCAATCTACATTCAACTTGATTTTAAAGGTGACAATATTACAGCAATTATCAACAGAAGATTGATGATGTCACTAGCTAAAGCCTATACTGCAACTGAACTGGTTCCAGTTTATCGAACAACTTGCTCTTTGGTGTAATCAACAGTCGACAGACATCCTTCTCATGTTAACTCCAACTGTATATACAAATTTACATGTATCTGTAGGAGCAGTTACATTGGGAGAACAGAAACAAGGGCATATCTATGATTTTCTGAACATGTACCGGAAAGCCTATGTCTAAAGGGAACAAATGTCTTAAACAGTGTCATCTCCAGGCATCTTGTTGACACGGGTCATCATGTAAACGTCTCAAGATCGTTTAAATTTATCAGTAGGTGAAAGAGTTAAATTCTCCTCAAGTTTGCCGAAGTCATGTCCATCATCAAGGGCCTGAAACCCGATTTACGCATTTGGAAAGAAGCAGTTATCAGTCTTTCGTTGCCCTGGTAACTGAATGTTTTCACCTCTCTATCATCTGATTTCGTAATGTTGAAAGTTTCCATTGCGCATGATCATTATTGTTCGGAATAGTGTTTAATATCATATGTATATATGTATATATTATTATTATTATTATTACTGTATGCACATATTGATTGATTGATTTTTTTAAAATGAACTCTGTGCAAGTATGTTACATCTGTTTCTGTAAGCAGCTGATGAGAGGCCAACGAAACAAATGATAGTACGATTTTATTCTGCAAAAACTGTTGTTCTTGCTAAATTCAAATTCATTTAGGAGAATAAATGTATGAAATTCACTGTTTCCGTTTTCAATCAAGCTGTCCTTCTAATAGATGCTAAATTGATAGAATTAACGTTACTGAATAACGGTACTCATTTTTTATGATTCAGTTTAGATCTTTCCACTGATTGGTTTAAAAGAATATTCAACTCATGTTTACTGCAACAACTTAGTATCTTACTTTTGTTTATATTCCTAACGAAAATCTCGTTAATTCTCCAGGTAACCATGTGTATCATTCACCCCTTTGTTTTCATTTCTTTTAGGGTCGCTATGCATCCCAGACGACGTTTCTCTAGTCATCCTGTAGAATCTTGTAATACGTATATCGACGATTCATTAACTAGATGTAAATATAATTCAAAATTACCTTCGAAATTAATCAAAAGTAATGATAGTCGAGCATCGGATACAATGAATTCAAATTCAAGTAAATCCGAATCACTTTCTACAGATCAATTTGAACCTAATAATTATATTCCTGTAAGTTTTTATTTATGTGAATTATCAAACAAAGACATTGATTAGTTAGAGTAATAAGTTTTACAGATTTAATCAATATATTTATAGTGTTAATAATCTACACATATTGATTACTTAAAGATTAGAGTAAAACGTTGACAACTTTAATGTGCATGTGTTCGGTCTTTCTTTTTTCATCTTTTTTTTTAACAAATTTATTTGTTATCTTAGTTTCTTAGCATACTTAACATATGCTTATTAATATTTAATTAATTGATGTTTTTACATGTGTTTTCTGCTATTTTGGAATGACAGCTTTGTGCGTGTGTTACATATACATACGTATGTATGTACCCACACATACATGGACACAGGCTGGTTTGCATATCTACTAACTTTATGACATCTTAGAATCTGTTCTTGTTTTCACTTTATCAATAAGCATTAACTTAAATAAGTTTTTATTTTAGCATTTAACTAAATCAGTGTTAACTTGTTTTAGTTTATCTGATATAGTGATTGTTTCTTTGGTCTGATTTTTATGTTCTATTGATGACAAATAACTTCTTGAAATTTGAAGGAAAACTTTAACTATCTTCGGCTTTCGTTGACTCAACTGTATCATCAAATTAGCTGGCGCTGGCGTCGTTACATATCGCTAATTGACAGAATTTGGAATTCATTGGACATTAGATTCTGTCCTATTGGTCTTGCTTCACAGTTTAATGGGCCTTGATTTGATTCTTAGTGGGTTCATGGATGCCTATTGCCAAAGAGAGAGCTCCAAACTAGGATGAAACAACTGTCTAATACTCCGTGGTTTTTTTAATAGTTCTCTAACTGATTTCATTTGGTGATCATCTAACTCATTGCTTTATCCATCTACTACTAACGCGTCGGTGGCATAGCGGCTAGGACGCTCGCCGACCATGCATATGGTCCGGGGTTCGATTCCCGGCCGACGCACTCCTTTACCTCTCACTAAGCCAGAAGTAATGCTGGTGAAGAGGAAAGGTTGGGCATGAGGCTAGTAACCCCATCCTGTAAAAAAAACACCACTCCCACAGAAACTTCAAGCCTCTAGCTTGAAGCCATATGTTCCACTAGGGAACGTGAGGGAATAAAAAAAATCTACTACTAATGGTTATCTGTTATTTAATCGATAACTGTCCAACACCATAGGTCATTTATCCACTATTAGTAAATAGTTAACTAGGCAGGCTTAAAATGTTATCTCATGTGATGAATAAGCTTCATAACTGTTTCAAGGTCAATGGAATGTTGTGACATTACGATCGATTGAATTGAATTGACTTTGTAACACTTCTTTTTGTTTGAGGAGTGATGATCCATGACCATTACACTAGTAAGGTTGCATAGATGTCAAACTTTGGTGAGTCGTGTTTTTTTGTTGTTATAATTTTATTAGAGTACATGGATAGAAAATAAACTAACCATGTGATTTTAGTAAGAGAATAATCATGCACTTTACATTGTTTGTTTTCGTTTGTGTGTGTGTGTGTGTATGACTAATATTTCACTATTATCTGATTGGTAAACTGTGGATGTATGTTTCTCTCACTCCATTATATGTTTGTTTAATGTTTGCAATAATGTATTATTAACATTTCAACTATATTACAGATTTATTTTATCATCATTTGAACATCCCTAGAATAACTGAGAGATTGATGTATGATGAAAGTGATGACATTATTTTTAAGAAAAAAAAAGGGATCTGATAGTTTGGTTACGGGATTTCATCATGGGTTGACATCAGTTAGAGAACCATTGGAAAACCTGGAAGTACTGGACAGCTGTTTCGTCCTACTTTCAGACTCTTCATCGGTACGCATCCAGCGGGGTTCGAAACCTGGACCTTCTGGTTACGAGGCGAGCTCGTAGACCATTAAGCCACTGGGACCCGATTCATGACATACCGTGACTGATACTAGCCAGTGTCTTCGGCGACTATTTGCGAGCTGGGGAAATAGGTGTAGAAAAAAGAAAGTATAGAATTTGAACAAATGATCTTGATTGGTTATTTATTCTTCTTTATCTCGTTGAGATAATGCAGATAGTGTTTTTTTTTAAAAAAAAAGACATTACTCAGTGGTTGTTTTTCTTCCATTATATACTAAGTCTTATTGTTCAAACATTCTAGCTTTTTTTTCACTAGTCTAAGTGCCTGGATTTTCATTGTTTATTTTGTTTTGCTTTTTGGACTATCAACTCATGGTGGTGTAAATCAATATGCATGAGTCATAATTTCGACGATGTCAGTCTGTCAAAATATAATCACGAATGTTCAGCCATGTGTAGTTCACATTCTCATTTAATGACTGACTGCATGACTGACTCATGTGATGCAGGTGTGCAAATTATAATGTGTAGGTTAGCTGGTAAATATAGTCAGGCTGTTGCGACTGTTTTTTTAAACCTTGATTTCTACGTTAAAAGTAAAATAATGTTTCAATTCAATAAGAAGAAAAAAATTATACTTCAAGACTTATTTTTGTGAAAGATCTGAATAATTCAGCTTTCTGATTGACAGTATTTAAAATGCACGTAAAAGTGTCCAGATTTTAGTTCATTGGCATATCTCTCTCTCCCTCTCCCTATATATATATATATATATATATATATATATATATATATATATTTCGAGCATCATGACAATATGCATTATACTGTCAGTCAGTTCACCAATAGAAAACAACATACAGTAAGCATAGGAAGCGAAAACGTCTTTGTTGTACACCTGGAATTATAAAATATAGACAAGAGATATAAATAAAATCAAGGTGATGTCACAATATATTTTGTCTTAGCTGTGGATTTAAGTACAAAGTGATTTTCCCTCGCTTAAGCACTCAACATTCAGATAATGCATCTAGGTTTCGAGTCCTGTCCCACTCAGTTCATTCGTACAGGATTTCATCATGAGCTGACATTGTTTAGAGAACCATTGGAAAACCTGGGAGCACTGAACAGATGTTTCGTCCTGGTTTGGGACTCCTCACTGTACGCATCCACCACCGGGGTTCGAACCCAGGACCTTCTGGTTACGAGGCAAGTTCGTAGACCATTAAGCCACTGAGACCCATCCAATGCTCTTAATTGTCTATGAGCTCGCCTTGTAACCGGAAGGACCTGAGTTCGAACCCCGGTGGGAGCATACTGTGAAGAGCACCAAACTATGACGAAACATCTGTCCAGTACTCCCAGGTTTTCCAATGGTTCTCTAACTGATGTCAGCTCATGATGAAATCCTGTAACCAATCAACCAAATCCCTACAAACCAATACTTGAATATCAGTTCATTCTTATTACCTAATTAGTACCATTGGCTCATAACCTAGTGCATGAAAACTTTATCTGAGTAACTGATTAACTAACTAACTATACGATCCCATTGTATGATTTTACACTTCATTTAATACGGCCTATGGATGTTTTAGAAGCAAAACAGGTAAATGCGTCGTTTTTGAAAGCAAATATAAGTAAGAATAGTAACCTTATTTTACAACATGATGTTATGTAGGTCTGATAACAGCGCACTAATATGCTTTTCAACTAGGCAAATTCGCCATGTGATATCTTATCATATATACCGTATTATATTATATATTATCATATATATCATATTATATTATACATAATCATTCTTAAAAATTGTTTTTCATCCTTCATTTTATTACTTTTAATACCATTAGGACAATGTGAAAGTACAATCATATTTATGCTCTAGTCAGGAGAAATGCAGTCATTGTCATTGGAGACGGTGAGTAGAAATTTTAGCACAGTTGTCGTTTTATGACAGTTGATTAATAATTTGTACCTTAATTGTTTTTAAGTAATCCATCCCCCCCCCCGCCTTTAAAGACCACAATAAATGTTGAATATAGGTAAATTTTATTTTCCCGATGATTGACTTGACAGGAATGGTCGGCCTCTGTTAACACGTCGACTCCTAGTACAGACTCTTCGACGACATCTGAGGATTATCATGATGTCACTTGGTGTAAATGGTGACTAACAGTGGGATGCAGGATGCACATTTCATCCTCTCTGGGATTCCCCAACCAACTGGGAAAAATAAAATAATAACTTATATAATTTACACAAAAGATGAGTAATGTGTTCGAAATGGTCTAGTGGATAGCACCTTGGATTTTGAAACGATGAGTGCTGCGTTCGAGTCTCAGTGTCGACCATTGGTGATTTCAAGTAAATCCAACTGACTAGTCTCAAGTGGGATGAAATGTGCATTCTGGACTCACTACTAGTCACCATCCTCTAAGTAATATAAATGTTATTTGATATGTGGATCCACATCTTGTTTGGAAAGTGGACCAATCAGAGTTGCTTTATACATAGACATAACTAATGGATTTATCCTTTCTGATGCCTACATCACTGGCCCTTGCATACAGTATTCCTTACTCCCTATATATAATTGTTTCTTTGTGTAAATATTCCTTTTCCGACTCACCTCACTGTGTGTTCTTGACCAAGTACCTGACTGAGAAATCAAGTCGTCGTTGTACAACGTTGGTAACTGACATGCCATAGCCGTGATCATTGGGTTTGTTACTATCAATTCAACTAAGTGTTACAAAATATAAAATTATTAGGTTAAATATGCGCACAAAACAAAGCTAATACTTATCTTGTGTAACGCCTTTTGCTTTACACGAAATCGTGTTTTGCATGATGTGTTCGTGCATCAAATTGCAAATCACAAATAAGTTTAAATAACATAGAATAATTAAGCATTTCTTTTGTCGAAGATTTAAACTTTTATTTCTACATCTTTTCAAGCATTGGTTTGTAGGGATTTTGTTGATTAGTTACATGATTTCATCATGAGCAGACATTGGTTAGAGAACCATTGGGAAACCTGGGAGTCATGGACAGCTGTTTCGTCCTAGTTTGAGACTCTTCATCAGTACGCCACTGGACCGGGTTCCAGTGGCTTAATGGTATACGAGCTCGCCAATGTCAGCTCATGATGAAATCCTGTAACCAATTCTACATCTTTTGTTTTCTTTTCTTTTGTGATCAGCTTCTGTCGAAAGCCTGATTACTTCATGTAGGTTTTATTGATATTCTAATATTTGCAACAGTAGTTTACGATGAAGCTTTACGCAAATGTCCATTAATAGCAAACAGAAGAGGAATTTATCACGTAATAGTGTAATATAATGAACATTTAACACAAAAGTAAATGTATCTAACCAAATGTGGGAGAAAAAAGTGTTCAAGGTTATATGAAAGATAGTCAGTATACATAGATCTGTACTAAGATGAGTTTTATCATACAGGGTTTCTAACCTCTAGCTTTTGACCTTGAGACAATCAGATCTTGGGGGTGCATGTCAAACAGCTTAAACCGCCTTATCAGTGAGTAGTGTTATCCAGTATTTTAAAACTTAATAACTCAGTCTAGTCCTACTTTATTTAGTATCTATGTAGAGAATGTCATTCATGTAAATAGAAAAATTTAACAAACTCAACGAATACTGTTAAATGCTGTATCATGTAGACATTAGTTGTCGTACTTATTTATAAAAGGGAACTAATGGGCTTTTCAGAATATAAATAATAAAGTAAGGTTACCCAACTTGAAATGTGTCATTCAACTTATTACCAGCAGCACTTGCAAATCTTTACATGAGACTCAGAACAACAGTCAATAACTTCATGTTTGCTCATGAATGTTTCCCGCATTATTTCGATTTCAAGTAGTTGTACTGTAGCAATGATAACATAGTAGGCCTTAATGCATTCTTTAACTACTTCGTTCAGTGCGGTTTGTGAGTTGGGACACCACCCCTAGGGTAACCACTGCTCATTTGACAGTTTTATTATGCCAATAAGGCTTCATAGGTAGGTTTGTTCGTTTGTTGTCTTTAATTATTTTCCTGATTACAAAGCACGTCAATTCATTCTGTTACTACTGTAGGTAGATGTATAACTTCGATTACATGTTGAAATATGTTAACTGGCATCAAAGGAGAATGATGCTCAGGAAGGCTTTGTGCACAAATGCATCCACTCCTTGTGATTTATAATACCCAATAAAACTATATGGATCTTCGATACTACTATTCTTTTTGCCTCATATCTCTGTTTACTGTCTCTATTTTGCATTTACTTTTACTTTCTTCTCTTGCTTTGTGTGCTACATAAAGTATGGTGACTCGAACTACTGCACATCGGTGCAGAGTTCTGTGTTGAGACCAGTCAGTCAACTGGTATCAAAAATGGTGTTATCTGTACATCTTGTTCACAACATCATACCATTTTCCTTTGAATGTCATTTCACTTTCTCATTTTCCTTTTCATTCTGAGTGAGTTAGTGGCTGTATTTCAGGGATAAATGTAATGAAATTATGATGAACGGAGATATGCGGAAAAATCACTCAAAGAAGATTCGTGAACATTTTCTGAATCTGAAAGATGACAAGGTGTGAATACATATATGACATTGTAGGCGATCTTGGGCTGCGTTACAGTTTTTCCAACTACAAATAATTGGTATTTTGAGGACCCCAATCATAAAATTTAAACCTACATGCGTTGCCCAGATCAATATTCAATGATTTCATAGATTAGTGTGTGTGTGTGTGTCATGGTTTATTCTGACTATTCCTAACTCCTTTTTCATCAACTTAATCCTAATTCATCAGTTATTTATCGACTCAGAATAGTACAAATAGACCAAATAGTCCACATTTTTTTATCCTTGAGTCGATCCATGTACTGTTTCTTTCTCTGTCTGTCTGTTATAAACTATTATTTATTAACACTTTCACATCTCTACCTGAGCTGGAATACGACAGTAATACAATAATAATTATGCGTAATTTTAAGACATTATAAGCTGTAAATACCACTCAGATGGTTTGCTTCTGGACTGATAAAATGATACAGACAGCTTTAATTACTGAATTGTGTATCTAACCCGTTTAGCATGTGATAATTTATTAACTTCTGTGACAATTTTGAAAACATGGTCTGAATAGTTTGTGCAAACGTACGTCATATATCAGATTTTATCATTATTTTCTGTATGTAATGTCTGATAAATGGGGAGTTATAGTTTGTTACCATAACCTGTTATCTGTCAACCTCTTAGTAATGATTTCAAACTCCATTTTGCTTGTTTGGCTGGTTATATTTCCGCATAGATTTAAGTGTCTAAACTGGCTTTCAGTGCTCATAGAATATCCGAGTGCTGACTGAGAGCACCATGTGATCATTGTCTTATAACATCTGAAAGTGATATTCCCTATTCACCCGAAATAATGTTGCTGATGGAAACATTATATGAAGCATGAAGAGAGGTTGAATGTAGAGTACTTGCCAAATTCATCAACTTAGCTAACTAAAATGTGTGTTACAAATTTGATTCATTGTTCGTCTGAACATACATTGTTTACTGAGATGTCATTAGATTAGAAGGCAATTAAGAGCACCAAAATGTAAGTAGGATATCAATGCAACAACGTACTTGCTGTTGATCTAAGCCGTGTGAAAATGCTTAACGGAATATTTACTCTTAGGGACCTTCGTATATTGTTGTGGGTGTATTATTTATGTATCATTTGCATTTGCTTCGGTGGCACAGTGGTTAGGACGCTCGCCGACTATCCACATGGTCCGGGGTTCGATCCCCTGCCGACGCACACCTGATATCAATGGTCGGCCTGCTAAATTTGGGCTACCGATATCACATGCTGAAAATTCCATACTTGTACCAAAAGTACCGTGTGGTTTCAAGCTATAATTTAAAAAAATGTTTCCTTCTTTTTTTTTGTTTTCAGATCTGAACCATATTTAGTGACTTTACCATCACAACCTTTGGATATACGAAAGTTAAAAGAACTTTTGAATTATCCTTCCGGTTCATGTTGCTCTATGAGTGAGTCTTGCAATTGTAATACTCATTCATCTCATTCTCCTAATACTCATGATTTGGAAAGTAACCATTTTTCAAATAGTGGAATCAGTGAGGATGATCGAGATGGGTGTCGAAATTGTACAGATAAACCTAATAATAATAATAATAATGAAAACAGCTATGCCAATAACTTCTCATCAAATTACTGTACACAAAATGGAATCCACATGCAGTCAGGTACTTCGTGCCATACAACTCAGTGTGATTCAGTTTCAACCCAGAGTCAGCCTTCAAAGACTAATACAGTTTTAACTGACTCCTCTCACTCAAAGTTATGCCATGACATTACAAATGATAACAATAAAGTAATAGCTAATCATGTCAATACGCTGTTAAATGCAACTCAACCGGTATGCACACAAAATGTTAATCAGCCATTAGTTCCTCCGGTCGTTAATGCTAGTGTGAATACAGCTGCTCGTCGACGTAGACGCCTACCAAGTAGTTGGTCTACTCTAAGTTCAACATTGATTGGCAATACAGATGTATCAGGTAATTCATTCTTTTTCTTTTTATTCAATTATTGGTTGTTTTAAAACAAAAAGTAATTAATCATTGTTCGGATAATTTTCTGCAGTAGCTAATGTTTGATACATTTTGTTGTGGTTACAATCTTACACCTTTCATTAACTTTATTTGAATAGTTCAATTAAACTGACTCAATTGTTCTTCTCTTTTTTGGTTGCTTAGTACACACACACATCAGATGATAGATTGATCTAGTTCTAGATTTCATATTTGTTGACATTCATCAAGCATTAGTGTATATGGGGGACCTTGAGAAAATTTAATTTTTTTTTTCTGAAATTTTGATATTAGTTACCACATGCCTCACAGTCAGCTATTTTACAACTAGTGACACTCATATTTAGCAAACATGATTTCACATAACAGATCCATTTATTGAATTACAACTTACGTTTCATTTGTTGTCTGCTTTTTTTTCCTTCACGTTCCCCAGTGGAACATAGAGCTTCAAGCAAGAGGCTTGAAGTTTCTGTAGGAGTGGTGTTTTTTTTACAGGATGGGGTTACTAGCCTCATGTCCAACCTTTCCTCTTCACCAGCATTATTTCTGGCTTAGCGAGGTAAAGGAGTTCGTCGGTCGGGGATCGAACCCCGGACCCTGTGCATGGTAGGCGAGCGTCCTAACCACTATGCCACCGACGCATGCTTTAGCAGAAGGTATTGATCAGTTTTGCTTAGTTGTCAAATGCATTCAGTTGGAGTGAAGAGTAAAATACATATTTTCTATATTAATGCTAATTTTAATCCTTCTTCTTCGTCTTCTTGAACGCTTAGCTTAGCTTTTTCATTGGGTTTTTTCTTAATTTGTTTTGTTTGAACATGTGTATTTCAAGTTAATTTCTTCTCTTAACTTTCTCACACTTGAACTTCTAATTAATAACAATTAGATATTCAATTGGTGGATGGTGACTAGCAGTGGAACCGAAGATGCTCATTTCGTCCTGTTTGGGACTCGTCAGATGGATGTACCTGCATTCCCCAGTCATTGAGTGATGATGTTCCCACCGAGGCTTGAACGCAGTGCCCATAGTTTCAAACGCCAAAGCGTTATCCACTAGACCACTTGGGCCACGAGAGCCACCTCTTGTGCAACGGGTCATATTAATTATTTAATTGAATTTTAGATTTTCCCGTCGATTGATTGGACCGAAGTGCTCGGTCTCAGGTCGATTAAATTAATATGACCCATTGTACAAGAGGTGGCTCTCGTGGCCCAAGTGGTCTGGTGGATAACGCTTTGGCGTTTGAAACCATGGGCAATGGGTTCCATCCTCGGTGGGAACATCATCACTCACTGAGAAATGCAGGCACGTCCAGATGATGAGTCCCAAATAGGACGAAATGCGCATCCTGGATTCCACTGCTAGTCACCATACACCAATTAAATAGAAATTAAATGCCCAGACATCGTCGAAGCATCTTCACAAGAAGCCGACATGTCAACCTGAGACCGAGCACTTCGGTCCAATGAATCGACGGGAAAATCTAAAAATTAAGTTAGATATTCACTTTCTGAATACTAAAAATGTTTTTCATGAATTAATCTTTTATATAATTTGCTTTATGAAGAACTATGTTATTTCGCATATTTTTTGTAGGAAATGGCACTAATGGTCACACGCTGAGTAACATGTTTACCAGTAATAGACGCCAAACTGAGTTAAATCAACGCCAATCCAAAGGAAATAGCACTCATCATATTTATATGCCATATCAAGTTACACCGACTGTTATTCCAGGAAGCCAATGTATAAGAACCCGTCAACATACTCATAGCACATGTGAAAGCACAACAAGTTGCCATAATCATGCATATGATGGTTCACATAATTCTCCTGATTCTCTAAATACCTACTGTCAAACAAGTGGTAGAGGAAGTATTAAATCTTCTCTTGTTTCTTTGTCATCTAGTCTTATACCACTTTGGGCTAATGCACCTACATTTGCTAAACCAAGAACTGGTAAACTATATGTTTCCAGAGAGGAGATTTTATCTCGTCGTGCTGAACAACAGCGACAACTGTCGTCTGTCTCAGAAGTTAAACATCAAGAAGGTTTTAACAATCGTTCTCCACCTAATTCATCAGATACTTTGTCTTCTCATTTCGGGGACAATTCAAACTGTCCTGGTGAGTATGTCTTCATATTTAATTAAATACTTCACTGTTTACTTTAAATGTGGGTAAAAGGATTATCAAGATGTGTATGTGCAGAGCAGTACAGTTATCATAATTTACTAATCCCCTTTCGCTCGGTTTTAAAATCTCATATTCTAAGAAACTATGGTAGAATCGATTCAGAAGGCCATTTGACTGAGTCAAAAAAAATAAATGAAGAAGCACAATGCTGGTTAAGATCCAAACTGGCTGATATTCCCAATCAGTTCATACATTAACCAGCTTTGAAGAATCTAATGAATAATGAGATTTCCATATTGTCGGCTTAAGGACCTGATAGATCTAATTAATAAAAATAATATAATTTGCACAACACCCTTTGATGAATGTAAGGTCAATTACATAGATCAGTCAATCTAGAGTAGGTCAGGGTCATTTAGATTATTGGAACGTAGAAATTTAGCTAGACGTAGAAAAAAGTTTGGTTATTGCATTACATTCACTTGTATGTAATCACACAATAGGATGCGGCAGGGTGAAAGTATTAAGAGGTAATATAGTTAGGTGGGGAGAGGTTAATCACTGAATCCTTGTTTGTCGATATAACACCATACACACGGACAATCGAGATGATGCATTACCTATACCGTAGACAGGATTATGAAAAACAATTTGTGCTCGAAACGTCATCCAATTATTAACATTGTTTTATTTCAAACTTATCTAGCATGGAATTACATTCTGTGACAGTGCCCAAGTTTTACACTTACACGAATAATGAGAATATCATGATACTACGACCACACAAACGTCCTGGTGTTGTCATAATGAATAAGGATAATTTTATACATAAAGCCAAGTTAAATTTGGTATATTCGTCAATATTTGTATTAGACAATGCGAACAGTAGTATGACTGAGTCCATATAGCAGTGAATTACAAAGAAACTAATAAACAATTCAACCTACAATGATAGAATATAATTTACCCGTCGTTTACTTGTACATATTTCTTCTAATCTAAAATCAAGGTCACTAGATTTTTGCTTTTTAACAGATAAATAGTGGAGCTTTACGCGAATATCAGACTAAATGGTGTACAGTACAGTGATGCACTGTGTTTTAATTTAATTTGGCTGTCAGAATTTGTATTAATCCAGTCAAGGTCACTATTGTTTACAGCCAATGAATTTCCTTTGTCATTTTGCTGAAATAAATGACTCTGTCTAGCTATATGCTATTTTAATTATATTCACAGAATACATACTTTATTCAGTCACTGATTCCCCTTTCTCTTCTGAAATGTGCAGCTCATTCACCACCTTGACATGCTGCTAAAATTATCATTCAAGTATTGTTCAGTCTATGTATCATCTGTGGTAAATAACTACTACTTAATTGTAGCAACTATTATAAATGGGGTTTTATATTGCAAATAATTTTAATTATAAGGTATTCGTTTGGGTTGTATCGACAAATAAGTTGAGGCGTCTTGTGAGCTGAAAAATTAAAGAGTGTATAAGTCTCTTTTAGGCTGCAGGTTAGCATCATTAGGGAATATGAAGCATGTAGAAAATTAAAACAAGTGATTCAGCAAAGAGACTCTTCAGCGAATTCATTATCAAGGCGTACAATAAGCTATGTACTATATATAAAATAGTCCATGGAATGTATAAATCTTAGAAGGGGGGTACAGAATTCATAAGATGAATAGGCATTTAAAGCCACTACGCAACAAGGTGAGAATTATGATAAGACGGGAAATTGTTCAAAGTGAAAATAATTTTAATAATCGAATCAATAAGGAATGGATATACAGATTGAATAAACAAAATGAAAAATAAGCAGAGTCAAGGTAAAAATGAGGATTATAATAGTTCATCAGAGATGGACTAAAATTATGGAAGAAGTCGTTGAACGTACAAAGCTCTGGCTTTTCTATTTCTATGATCAAGCTTCAGCAATACAGATTAGTCGGACAGGTAATGACTTTAGCAGGTTATTTCTTCGCCCTGTAGATAACGTTAAAGGTAAGAGGCTGTTGAGATGAGGTGACCAGTATCGACCAAATGTTCAATCATTGCACTTCTAATAGCCCTACTTCCACCTCTTCGTAACCACGCAGGATAGTTTTTGAGTCTCTTCACTGAATCACTTGTTTTTAATTTTCTCTATATCCTAACGGGAATTTCCCAGCAATACGAAGCAGTCACAATTTCGAACTTTATAAGTTCTGTGTGAATTACTTACAAAAACCGAATATGATTTCCTAAAGTATAATAATGCCTAACAATATAGTATTTTGGGTTCACCGAGTACTTCTATTTCTGTGTTGAACCATGAAGAAAATAAAAGACAAATCATTGAAGGAAATTTTCTTTACGGACGGAATCATCTTCTAAGGCCTTACAGCCAATTCTATTTACTCAAAACGTATAGTAGTCTATTACTGAGTAGTGGTGGGGGGAGGTCGAAGTAACGTAATTGATACAACTACTCAGAAGTGGTTTCTAAAGATAAAAAGAAATTATGCAATAGTTAATGAAACAGAAAAACGCGGGTTTGAATTTGACAAGGTGAAGATTGTTAATCGATAAAAAGCAAGGTAGTTGAATGTTCATTTGACAAGTGTAAAGGGGATGAGAGAAGAACGTGAAATGTACAAAAGGAACTTCGAAGAGTGATAATAGTGAATTGGTTACTAAGAATAGGAGCGAACGATTAAGAAAGAGACCAGGACCATGGTAGAATAAGAGACTGTAGAAAACTTTTCTGCATACTGAGTTCAGGGTTATATTGACGAATGGCTAGCGCCTCAGCCATACACAAGTTCTCTAATCCAACACCTTTTGTACCATTCGGTTATACTTTGTAGATAATTTTAAAAGACGACTGTGGTGGAACTACGTGACCTGAGTTCACCAGGTGCTCGAAAATTGAGCTAATAAGCTTCTTTCATTTTCCTCTTGATAACCATGCGGGATAATGTTCAGAGATGTGTTTGGAAAGTGTGTGCTTTGTACAGCCAATGTAACTAGCTTCACGGGAGCAAGTGAATTTATAAACATTATCTTGAATCAGCCCAAGGCGGCAGTTTGTCCTACACGCAGCCACTAATGTGATTTACTTCATCACTCAATGAGTATTTTCACTCTATGTAGAGTATTCTTTTTAAGAAAAAGCTATTTTTATTCTGTATACTGATTGACTAGATAATTCTATTGATTGAATTGAAAATTCTGCTTTTGGTCATTTATTCAGGTGGTACAGGTGGTACAAGTTCAAATAATTCAACAGAAGGAAATGCAACCTCCCATAGTGAACAGAAGTTGCCAAGTAATGCTGTTCAATCTATGGCACCAAGTCATAATCCTGTAACAACAAATGGATATAATTTCGACTTATCTTCTGATTCTCTTACAGTATGCAAAAATAATGCATCATTACCTATTCCACTTGGGTAAGTGTATTTTATATTATAAGTTGCCCTTTCAAAAATTAGTTTGTAGGGATTCTAATTGTCTCAGGTTAAACAACAGATTGATATCAGTTAGAGAACCATTAAAAACCAGGGAGTACTGGACATCTATTTCGTCCTCGTTTGGGACTCATCAGCAGTACACACCCGTTGGGTTTCGAAGCCAGGACCTTCTGGGTACCAGGCAGGCGTTTTGTCGACGGAAGTTTAGTTGAGGATTTTTAAAAATCTGTTTTACTTATTTTCAGTACCACGGTTATTCTCTATGTTTCTGTATTTCTGTCAATGTGTTACTGGTTACATTTGTCAACTGAATTTACTAATACGACTGTGTTTATTAACATTGATTACCATTCTCATCAATGTGATTAACTTTTGAAAGAATTCTTTAAAAAAAACATAATTTGCTCATTTCTAAACAGTTAATATGAAATGCTTTACAACATTCTACCTCCGTAGACTTTTATCTTTTTCACTCAGTAACTTTGAGTTTGTAATAACAATCTGTATCGATTGCCATGTCTATAGAGCAGCTAACTTTTCTTGAATATACCCACCAGGTTGAGATGCTTACCTATTCTTTCTTGGAAATTAGCGTAGGAATACTTCAGATCCTAAATATTCAAATCACAATACATAATCTACCTTCTAATACTATAAATGGCCTATGAAGAAAGCAAGTATAACTACTGATTAATATTAAGTTGTTAGTAGAAACCCCTCAGGTCAACCAGTTTTTGTAGTTTGCCAACCAAATCGAAATGATCTTATCACTGGAAGAACAGACTAGAGGAGGAGATGTTTGAAAGTCAACTTAATTCATATCACCTGAATTCTGTCTGGTTAGGTGAATGACCTCCAAATATTCGTAGCAATCAATGGCATATATGCCATTATGCAATCGTTAAAGTAATCTTAATTGATAGTCATTACGTATTTGTACTGATAAGTTCATTTTAGCAAGTCTGTATACGATTAGCATTTAAGAAGATTTCGATTAATATTTACTTTTCTTTGGAAATATATCTAAATGAATTCAGAGTTCATGCTATAGGGTACATTGATATGTTTCACATGGTGATTCGAATATTACTACTGTTATTATTATCTCATCCAACAGCTGTACGACAATGCTGCATGCCAAGTAATCCACAACGGGAAACTCACGGAATCCTTCGAAGTGAGGACAGGAGTAAGACAAGCTGGCTGCCTACTATCTCCAATGATTTTCCTGATTGCAGTAGACTGGATAATGCGACAAACGGTGGGCAATGAGGAAACAGGCATAAAATGGACGCACACAAAAAACTTGGAGGATCTGGACTTCGCCGATGATATATGTCTGATTTCCCACAAACTGGAAGATATGCAGGTGAAAAGCAACAAGTTGGCAGAAGAAGCATCCAGAGAAGATAAGACTTCAGGTGAACATAGGGAAGACAGAGGTGATGAAGATTCCTGGGCAACGGCAACAACAACAACAGACAACAATCAGCATAAATGGAAGGAACCTGAAAGAAACAACCTCTTTTATTTACCTGGGAAGCATCGTTTCAACTACAGGCAGACGGAACTAACGAGGATATCAAAGCAAGAATCGGAAAAGCAAGACAAGCTTTCACTACTCTCAAGTCTGTGTGGAGGTCAACAGCACTCAGCATCAAAAATAAGATCCGGATTTTCAACTCCAATGTGAAGTCAGTGCTACTATACGGATCAGAGACTTGGCCAGCGCGTCATAAAGAGCATCTCAAACAAACTAAAGACCTTCATTAAAAGTTGTCTTCGCTCAATACTCAAGATCAGATGGCCAGGAAAGATCAGCGACAGGGATGGATCTCTGGGAGCGAACCAACCAGGAACCGATTGTGAAACAAATAGGCAGGAAGAAATGGAGATGGATTGGCTGACCATTCTCTGAGGAAACCATCAAGTGACATCGCTAGACAAGCCATTGCTCGAGTGGAACCCGAAAGGGAAGCGGCGAGTTGGTCGTCAGTGCAAGGGTGACTTGGAGGAGGTCATGTGAAGAGGAGATGAAAACGTGTGGGCAGACTTGGAGCCACATGAAGACTCTAGCAGAGAACCGAAAGCAATGGAGACGTGCAGCTGAAGCCCTATGTTCCTCTAGGAATTAAAGGAAACAATAATAATTATATTATTATGATTAAGAAAAATAGTTCACTTTTCGTTTCTGTTCTTTTGGAAAGTCTACTTTCCTTCGAGAATATTCTTTATGTGAAGTTTTGTCTAGGAAGCCTACAGTAGTTGAAGTTAACTGAGTTCATACCACTGGATATCCATTTTGTATTTATTAAGCATAAACAAATTAACGGTCGCAAATATTTCTTTTCCGTAGTTAATTTTAAACAGGCAAGAACTGTGAAAAAAATCATGGTATTTAATGAATTCATAAATTTCGGTAGGACTGATTCGTCGTCTGAATACTCTACAAACATTGTTGTTTTGTTTTACAATTTCTTACTTATCTGTTGTTACAATGTTTGTGTGCTTGTATGTATTTAACCTTAGAAAATTGTAAAGTATTCAGCTGATGAGTTCTATTGAACTGCTTCAAAAGCATGCTGACAGTTTGTGTTATCCTCTCACTCAAATCTTTAATTCATTGTTTCACAGAGATACAGTACCTGTTGTCTTGAAGGAAATAAAGGTGGTGCCTGTACTAAAGTTATCTTCTGGATCAGGTCTAAAATTTAAACCAATCACTATCACGTCTCCATTTCTGAAAACTATGAAGAAACTTCTCTTGCATATTCTTAAACCTTCTTTTAAATCTTTTAATGACCCAAAGAAATTTGCTTAGAAATGTAGTAGAAGCACTTCCGATATTGTCGTTGTACTCCACCACAATACTGTTTCAAGTCTTGATCAAGGCACGAAGTTTGTTCGAGCCTCCTTTTCAAACTACACTGCTTCGTTTAACTCTCTTCCTAGGGCACTTTTACTAGGCGAGCTGATTTCAGCAAACACTGAGTCTAGCTGGGTCACAAGGTGTCTGTCTTCTTATTTTTCGGATAGAAAACAACATACTGTTTTGAATGGAAAGCGCTCCACTTTGTTGCTAACGGAAACTGGTGTGCCTCAAGGCTCTATACTCTCTCCATTTTCTGTTTTCTTTCTTTTTGCATGAGTTTCCATACTCTTCCAAAGCTAATTTCGTTAAATATACCGATGATCTTACCATATTTGTCCCAGTAGTTTCTGCTGTGGATTGTTCTTATATGAATAGTTTCTTGTCTGAAGTTAACAAATAGCCTCACCTAAATAGTCTGATATTAAATCCATCTAAATGTCATATTGCTGATTTTAGTTTCAGTTGCGAACAAGACTTGCGTGGACTGATTCAGTCGGATGATTCCTTTAATATTGACGACATTGTGATAGGGAGTAAATCGAATATCTCTCATCTCGGTATCAGTTTCTCTTCGAATCTCTGTTGGTCGTCTCACACATCCTGTTGATTTCTAAGAACATTTTTCGTTCAAATTATTACATAAAGAAGTTGACACTTTCTGGCATAGCTCAACCTCTTCTCTTACAATTTGTTAATTCATGTATTCTGCCCATTCTCCTTTATTGCTTACCATTATTCTTCCCGAGACTTCTCAAAAAAGACTGTCATATTACATTGAACACTGCAAGCTGTAAGTAGGGTTAGTGGTGCATCTTTGACTCAGCTAACTGACATTATTGTCAATAGGCACTTCAATTTTTACAAGCATTTGGCTAAAGTTATCTTGTTTGATACGGAACTTCCTCTTTATTCTCAACTTTCTCCTTGTATCTCTTCGGGTAAAACCAGTAGAAACTTCACAAGAATTCACTCAATTCGTACAACTAAATATAAATATTCTACCTTACTATATTTAGCACGGATTCTGTATGAAGAGTCAGATGTCAGAAAAGAACTTATGAGATTTTTTAAATCAGTAATCTGAACTGCAAAGTATAAGCAAAGATTATTCTTATTACACTTATCTATGATATTATTTATTTATAGTTCATTATGTTTCCACCAGCATTCTGTTTATAGTGGTTTTACCATTAATAGTATTATTATTATTATCATTACTATTTTAAATTTTATGTATGTACATATTTATAAAAGGAGCAAAATTGACGCAATGTGTATAAATACGCTGAAAATTCCATTCTATAGAATTAATTATTGTTTTGAATAAAGTGATTATTGTTATTATTATTATCATTTATTAATTCATTAAATACTGCTTTTTTTCACAGCCCTTGCTTGTTTTAAAATAACGGTCACCATGCTTGTTGATATGGTGACCAAGTGAAAGTCTTTGAACTAAGGTATAAGATTAGTGATTATCAGTATGAAACGTATCATCTAGCTTTACAGTATTTCTCTTGTTTTCTAAATATAGATCACCTGTACTGTGAACGCCGTTTTGTTAGACGTATATCCTATAGATTTGATGGCCACACTTTTTTTTCCAATGAAGTTTGACTTCTTTGCACATTGTCGAGTTGAGAGACGCATTGAGGCTTCCAAAAAAAAAGAAAAAACATGTTTACCTCCTTTGTACAAGAAACACTTCTTCAGCATTTATTATACAACTCTTCTGTTGCATGTATTAAATTTGTATGGAGAAAGAAATGTTTTTGTCTCTGTTGGAGAATGATTGTTACCACTTATAATCAAAGCTACGATTTCTCGCTAGGGAATTCTCGTCAAGTTAAGATTATTTAAGAGCTAAAATAAGGTAATAAAGCAGAACTTGAGAGTCTGCTTCCAGATTTTTTTAAGAATGTCAATTAAGAAGTGGAAGTGATGCTCAGGAAGGCTTCGTGTGCTTTTGGAAGTGTGTGGGCAGCTGTTACTTCCCGGCTGCCCACACCGTGGAAGTTGATTGATTCTTCGGGAACCTGAAACAGAAAGTGTTGCGTGACCGCAGAGCCCAGGGGACAACTGCTTGAGGCCGGTCACACGCGGCCTGTTTTTGTTTGCTCTTTTTTGTTTGATGTGTCTCAGTAGCATATTTATCACTTCTGCCCTGTGACACGGCAGCAGGAAGCGCGTTCGTTGTTAGTCCGGGCCCCGACCGATCCGGCATGATATTTTGTGAATTTGTTTGAATCATAGTATTGGATTGGGTAGCTGCTTTTTGTCTAACCGCTATCCAAACAACCTACAGGAACATACGTTCCAGCCAGTGTAGCTCGTTGGGTCATTGCGGTGTTCAAGCCCGACCACCACGTCAAGGTAGCAGCCATCGGTTGAGTGTTAATTAGGAATTTCTGATTAAATTAAGTGAGGTATTAACTGTAGTAGTGTGGTATTCAGAATTGTCTTCACTTGATAACATCCACACTGTCAAACACTGTACTCAAAGAACAATGAGGAATTACCCTGTAATAACTAGATAAGAGTGAAACAAGTCGACCTACTCATAAGGTTCTAGATTTCATAATCATCCAACAGTTGACTAGCGTTAGGGGAAATGAAAAATAAGGATAACCTTTGTCGAACCTAATCTGCGATTTACTGATCCTACTCACATTCTCCATCGAATTCTGTGCAGGCCTGTGCATGATAATAACCATATTGTCTAATTCGAAGGTATCATTCTGTTCCAGTAATACCAAACATCATGTAGTATTGTTGGACTATAAGGAAAGTTTTAAAAGGGTATATTATTTCTAGATTTACGTATAGTATATGAAAAGCTAAGACTGAAGTTGTAATTATGATGCTCCATAAAATGTTTGCTTTTAGAGACTTCTAAACTTGCAGGTAAACTGAGAATATTCCATTCTGTATTAAATGCAAGTTTTCTGTGTTTGTTGAGACTGTGTACACTGAATGGTATGCATTGATTAGATCATTCTTCAAAATATCACTGATATTCTCTGACAACAGGATTGTTTTTCTTCTACAGATCGTACATTAATATGCCTCCAAGCCCTCTTAATTTTGAGTTACAACCAGCAAATGAAAAAAATTCATCTGTCGTGACTTCGAGTTCTCCTGGACAATCTGTTGAAAAAAGTGATTTCACTGATAAGAAACAAAATGTAGAAGATACAAGCAAAGTATTCAGTGGTGATAGGATTTTTAAGTTATCAGATGGTACACATGTCGTGTTGGGTAATCCTGAAACTTATGTAAACTTGTTGGGCTTACGGAGGAGTGGATTCACAATTCTAAACCATTCAGAAGCAAAAGTCTACTATATCAATCTTTCACCGCCAAATTTTGAGTCTACATCCGATCATCCATGTCCTCTTCAATTATCCAGGTGAGTATCATTTTTGGAAAATATTGCATATGCTTTTCATCGAAATTTAGAAATAACTGAATTCTTATTTCTAAGCTGTAGGAGAAATGCATAATATAGACAGTAAACAGAGGTGTGAGACAAGGGAGTAGTAATAACGAAGAACAATATAGTTTCATTCGAAATCATAAGTCACAAGTTGTGTATGCATCTGCACCTCTTAGAACGATTTTGAGCCATATAACCGATTGTCTCCAGTCACTGGTGTTTACTGTCCCGAGGACCCCAACCAGGAAGTCTACACCTTCCTACGTGGCTTAGACTAACTGTTGTAGATTTCATTGACTGGTGCCATGTTTTCGTTTGACCGCCGCTAGCTCTTTTCCAGTCTGGCCCTATATCAGCTAACATTGCCCATTGTGGAGGAAGGCGATGACTAGGCCTACGTAATACATGTCCTAACCATCTCAGTCGATGTAATTTCACAGCCTCGTCAACTGATTTCCCCTCTTTACCTAGCACTCGACTGAAGCCTAACCTCAATATTGCTCACCTTATTATACCACTTCACACACGTTTGTGAAGGCCGAAGACATAGCTCAATGACGTGCAGTAACACATGATGGATGAATCTTTGCAATTTCGGCCTCATGATTACGATACAGACGATTTATTGTGATATTTCTATGTATTTCATGCATGTATATGTAGGCTGTTACTCACAATTTGTGGAGTTTAATCAGGTCTAGTTTATGCAGCAACCTAAAGAATTGAGAACAGTTGAACTGACTTTTTACAAAGCATGTTAATCTGAAAGCACAGCTTATTAGTAACATTATCAAATGTTCTGAGCATTCAATTTGTTCTCCTAAGTTCAAATTCAGTTTCTGAATAGGAAAAAATTTAGAAGGCTTGGAGAATGCTTATTTCTTTTTTTTTATACAGCGGAATATATTACTTTTTCCAAATATATTTTCAACATACATTCAGTTTCTCTTCTCTCTTTGTGAAAGTCTGTATGCAATGAATTTACGTCTTCCCTAAATTATTTCAATTTTGTTTTCTTATTGATTGTTTCAGTGTGTGATTTGTGTGAATGATCATCCGAATGAGAGAATAAAATAACACTTTTTTTTTTTCAGTCCTCTGAAAACATTTGTATAATTTCTTTTTTTTGTTGTTGTCGTAAATCTTAAGAGTTGTGCTCACACTGTACTCCAGTGTGTAAATCAATAAGTATATTGGTCTTTACAAAATAGTCATGTCACACACAAACAGCCTAATCAAAAACAGCTTGATTAATAATAATAATAATAATAATATAAACTCATATCTTAGCAATTTGTTTACTCATTCTGTCATAAAAATATCCTAGTGAAAATGTCATGTGACCAGTGTAATGTAGCCTAGATAAATAGATTATGTTAGACTAATTAATCCAATGTGACTGACATACAATAATTTTAAATTTAAAACAGTATGCATTTTTTTTCACTGTCAGTGCAATATAAGAAAGAATTAAGATGTCTCCACTGTTGTTTGTTTGTTTGTACATGTTGTATGTGCGTGTGTCTTATCTTTGAACTACCCAAATTTACCAATACTGATTTGTTTGTTTTTATATTTTGAGGGGTTAATTATTTAATTCAATTTAAACTTTCCCGTCGATTGGTTGAACCGAAATGCTCGGTCTCAGGTTGACATGTCGTCTCCTTGTGCAGATGTTTCGACGATGTTTGATTATTTAACTTGAAGTAAATTGGTGGATAGTGACTAGCAGTGGGATCTTAGTTAACGCACATTTCGCCCTATTTGGGACTCGTCAACAAGGTGCACCTGCATTCCCCAGGGAGTGGTAGTGTTCCCACCTGGGCTCGAACCCAGTACCCATAGTTTCAAACGTCAAAGCGTTATCCATTTGGGCCGTGAAAGTCACCTCTTATGCAACGGGTCTTATGTAATTAATTATTTAATTCAATTTTCGATTTTCTCATCGATTGATTGGAGAGTTATTCATATGAACTGTGATCAAGATTTGACCGGATAGTTGCAAATATAATTTTATAGATTGGAGAGTTAGTTTGTAGGTATTTGATTTTTTTGGAGTTGGATCACGAATTGATACCAATTGGCGAACCATTGAAAACCACTGGGAAGTAATGGACAGTTGTTTCGTCCTAGTTTTGGGCTCTTCCTCTGTACGTACATACGACCCTACGAGGGATCCAATCCAGGACCTTCAGGTTACGAGGTGAGCTCGTTTACCACTCAACCAATGGGAGGGAATCTAATTACCCGTGAATTCTAATTTCTGTTAATTTGCGAATTTTGCGCAATGACCAGCTAATGTCATCGGCGAGTATTTAGTCTTCAAATCCAACCTGGTAGACGCCACTGATCACGACTGCTCACTTGGACTCCAGGCAACTTCGTCCTGTAATTAGTTACTAGTGAGCATCAGGTTAATTGTAGGAATTTCACTTCTTTCAAGTTTGATCGTGGATTGATATTAACTAGAAAACCATCTTGTTAAGAACTACTTTTTTTACTCTGGAGGTGGCTGAGACATATACCCTTTACATCTGGATAACTCTAGGAAGACAACACTGTCAATTGATGACATTAGCTGAAAGGTTAGGAATAGTCAAATCAAAATGTGGCACCGATCCATGAAGTTACTGACCAGTGGTCCACGTAACGCGCAGGTAAGGGTACTACGCTGTCTCACTAAAGGTCCTTTGGATGTTATAAATGGATAGTTGAAGACTGTTGGTGACATGATTCAAACACTTTCACAATGGTGCAAATGTGTTCATTGCCTTTTATGATACTCTAGATTCCAAACAGTATCGGTAATCGTTATATAATCATTCTTTCATTCACATTCGTGTGTTTGTATATTGCAATAGCATTATATTCTTGTTGTCTTATTTTGTTTAAGTATTTCTTCCGGTTGCGATACTTTTGTTTATTCCTCAGTCCAGCCTATCTTAGAAAGGTTCATTTGTCAACTGATTAGAGCAGTGGGAAATATGTTAACTGTAACACTGGATAACATAGTTACCAATATGTGATAGAAGCCGAGTTTCCTCAAATAACTTTAAAGTGGAATTAGTGCATAGCGCGACTGAATAAGTTTATTTATCATAACACACACAGCAATACATTAATAATAACTGACTGGATGACGTTTTGAGCACAATTTATTGCTCATAATCATCATATCAGTCAGTATACTCATATAATTTCTTAACTTGCTCTATATGGCATTCTTTAATCCCTTCTGGGTTTTTTTATTGCATTCCTATTGTATGTATTAAATTCACTTAATTGGTGGATGGTGACTAGCAGTGGAATCCAGGATGTGCATTTTGTCTTATTTGGGACTCGTCAGCTGGAAGTACCTGCATTTCTCAGTGAGTGATGATGTTCCCACCGAGGCTCGAACCCATTGCCCATAGTTTCAAACGCCAACGCGTTATCCACTAGACCACTTGGGCCACGAGAGCCACTTCTTGTCCAACGGGTCACATTGATTCAATTGAATTTTAGATTTTCCCATCGATGGATTGGACTGAAGTGCTCGGTCTCAGGTTGACATTGTCTCAAGAAGCCGACATGTCAACCTGAGACCGAGCACTTCAGTCCAATCCATCGACGGGAAAATCTAAAATTCAATTGAAAAAAAGATTCAGTTTATATACCAGTATTTATAAGAAACCATCATATTCTGAACATATACTTAAGACTTAGAATCATCCCATTCAGAATTATGTAAAATTGGATTTAGTCAAATATTGATACAGTCAAACTATGATTGTGCCCAATGAGTTAGAAAATTTATATAAAGAATTCAAGGAAATAAGGAAGACTATACTACTGACTTGAATTCATTCAAAATTTTATTAAAAGCAATAAGGAAAATAACAGTAGTAAAGTAAATAACAGAAATAATGATATAAATAATAAAGAAATCGAAGCCTTGATGGCATAGTACTATGTAAGGAATGAACATCAAACATCCTGCGTTGGATTTATAATAAGATTGGTATCAGTTAACTCACTCAGAGGTCAATTTTGTAGACTCGTATATCCAGTAGATCTAATGAGACAAAATAATGTTATTTTTTTATTCCTTTACGTTCCCGATGGAACATAAGGCTTCAAGCTATAGAGGCTTGAAGTTTCGGTAGCAATAGTGTTTATTTTTACGGGATTGGGTTGTTAGCCTCATGCTCAACCCTCCCTCTTTACCAGTCTCATTATTACTGGCTTAGCGAGGTAAAGGAGTGCACCGGCCGGTGATCGTACCTCGAACCACCTGCGTGGTTGGCGAGCATGCAGGTGGTTCGCGGTTCGATTTACCAAATATCATTTAATGAATTGAGGTCAAATAAATGGAACAAACTATTACATCAGGGTCAGTTAGGTTATTAAGGCGTAGATTACTTGATTGAGGTTTTCAGTTTATCCACTATTCTCTTCCTGATATGTAATGTTATTGACTGGTATTAATCAGTGACCTTTATTGACATTTCCGTGATATTATGGAATAATGTTTAACACTAATACTGTTTTGATGAGAAGTCACGAAACGAATATTATTTGCAAACCCTTTTTTTAAATTTCTATTACATAGAAATTACCGAGGTCAGTCATTCTAAATTCAGCTTAAGTTAAGTAATTTCGAAAAAGGTCGGTAGTTGCTATACATGCATTTACATTGAATTCACAAAAGTATTCAAATGTAATACAGTTAAGCAGAGAAGGGAGGTTCATTACCGAGTCAACATTAAATACATACAGTAAGCATGAGACAAACCCTATTCCGAATATATATAAAAAATTTTCAGTAAAAAACAAAAGGGACTGAAGAAAACTATACAATGCAAGTTGGTGCACCGGTGATGCCGTGGTAGAATACTAGCCAACTATGTATGTGGTTCGGGGTTCGATTCTCAGCAGACGCGCTCTTAAGCCTCGCTTGGCAGTTAGGAATCCCAGTAAAGAAGGAAGGTTGATCGTGAGGTTAACACCCCCACGCTGAAAAAGTAACACCACTGTTATTGAAACTTTAAAGCTCAAGCTTGAAGCCCTATTATGTTCCAATCAGAACGCAAAACAATATAAATAAAAAATATATAAAGCAACTTAGGAGGTAGTGTGAAAACTTTTATATAATTGTGCTCAGAACGTTATCCAGTTATTAATAATGTATCCTACTGCAGTGCCTGAATTGTGTACTCTTACATGAATACACTACACACTTGAATAACAGAATTCGGTCACTTGAAGAACTAGACATATCATATTGGTTACTCCTGGATTATCAGTTAATGTCATGCTGGAAAAGAGCTAGCAAATCATGGCACCAGTCAATGAAATCCACAATAGTTAGTTTAAGCCACGTAGGAAGGTGTAGACTTCCTGGTCGGGGTCCTTGAAAAAGTAAACACCGATGGCTGGAGACAATCAGTTATATGACTCAAAATCGTTCTCAATGGCTGGCGCAGATGCATTCACTCCTTGTGACTTATAATACCCAATGATACTATATTGTTCTTCGTTATTTCTATTCCTTTTGTTTCATATCCCTGTCTACTGTCTCTATTTTGCGTTTCTTTTTACTTTCTTCTCTTGTTTTGTGTGCTACATGGAGGGAGTGTGGCGACTCTAATTCTGGTTCTCTTAAAACACATCTTTTTACTGTCGGTATTTTCTATTTATTGAATAGTTTGCACGGATGAGGATGTCAAAGGGCAGGGTCTAAAAACCAAAACAGACCTTCATTACTCTGAAATCAGTGCGGAAATCTACTTCACTCACCATAGGAAACAAGATTTGAGTTTTTAACATTAATGTCAAGTCAGTTCTTCTATATGGTTCAGAGACTTGGCGCGTCACGAAAAACGTCTCCAAGAGGCTACGACAGACTGTTATTGACAGCTACCCTTCTCTAGCTCCCTTCTGAAGATCAGATAGCTGACTAGAAAGAATTAGCAACAAGGAACTGCGGCAACGAGGCTATCCAACAAAATGCAGAAGGAAATACGTATAGTTTGGACACACGCTGAGGAAACCGAAACAGTTGGGTGAAGTTGCGCGCCAGTCCTTCTGATGAGATGCGAATGGGAAACGACGAGTTAGGCGTCTGAGGGTAACATGGAGGAGATCGTAAGAGAGAAGGTAATGAAAGCTTATGAGAAATCGTGGAGCCAGCTGAAGAGAACCGCAATGAACAGAATGAAGTGGAGATTTGCGGATAAAGCCCCTATGTTCCACTCGAAACTCAAGGGAGTGATAATGTAGTGAGCATTTTGTTTTGTAAAGAATTCCTGAAATTGTTTCTTTATTTTTTCGCCATATGAAGATTTTTCAAATCCCTTAATGTTAGGAAATTTCTCCATGAAAGCGGAGTTATTATTTTGTTGTTCTTTATTTCTTATAATATGATATTGTTTTTTTTTATTATACCTGATTAGTTCACAAACAGACTGTCAAGATCCCAATTTGTCACAGTACCAACGTTCTGTGATTCCAAAAAGCCTTTCACTACCACGCGTTCCACCCTCTGTACCAATCGTAGCAGCTTCACTCTTTGACAGACCACCAACACCACTACGACTAGTAACATCGAATAACGTCGCCTCTAAAACTCCACAGTTACACTATGCTCATCTTATGTTGTCTGATAATCCAAGTGACTGTATCACAATCGGTATACGCCATGATAAAAAGACAACTCAACCTTCAGAGAAAAAAGACAACAGTTGTGAGAACCTACATTCAGTTCAATCTTTGCCACCTGCAATATCTTCTCATTCAATTCCATCTGAGACGAATGAAAATCTAAACTGTAATTGTAACCAACATAATGACCAGAATGGAGATTGTTATTCACAGGAAGTAAATTATGTAACTATAGATATGCGACAGACCAAAGCACTATCTGAATTGGAACAAGAACTACGCATCAATGGTGAACCGATGTGCAATTCTGGTCTGCATACACTATGGTCTGAAAATCATCGTTATGATCCGAGTAAATGTGCTAATACAAAAAGTAGTAATAAAATCTGTGAACTACGCAAACATTTTACAATATCATGGAATCTTCCCAATAATATCGTCAAAAGAAAAGAAGAAGTGAGTATGACTTTGTTTTAATAAAGCATAAGCATATGGATTATTACTCAAAGTTTGTTCTCATTTTAACCTTGCTTTCTATTCTAAAACTATTCACTCAAGATATTTCAGAATTGGTCACAGGATTTCATCAGGAGCTGACATTGGTTAGAGAACCTAGGAGTACTGGACAACTGTTTTGTCCTGGTTTTGGGACTCTTCAGCAGTACGCACCCACTGGGTTCAAATATTTCAGAATGACTGAAGTTCTGAAATTGGAGCTGTACCATACTGGAGTGTCTACTCAAGGAAAACAGTTGTCTCCATTTGATGGTGCCTTTGCATCGACTTGAATTGATAATCTCAGTTATACGTACTTCACGGATTTTCGTTATTTTCGTGAAAGCTGTTTACACGAAGCGCTTACAAAAATGCTAAAAGCCGTATGCGAATAATCTTCAACAGCTGTTGATTAGATTCTATGGTTTATTGATAAGATTATGCCTACTAATCTAGTTCATATTTTATGATGTCTTGGAAAGAAACGGTTTTCGACTTTGTGGACAAATGCAAATTGTCCTAATGTCTGTCGTTGCACTAATATATTGTAACGACAGAAGGCAAGGGCCAGGCAACAGATCATTTATCAAGGAAATCAACGCATATTTATATATGTTTTCATGTACATTACTATGGATATGTAAACAAACAAACACAGTCTTCCGATTGGTTGTTTCTCACGACAAATCTTGGGAACGTAAATACTGACGTAAATTACTGTCTACCAATTTGGCTAGTAGACAGCTCTCACCACAATATCACTTTTCTTTAATTTGAATTATCTACACTCCTTTCAATTACCGCATCCTATGTAGCTTACTTTTATCCTGCTGAAAGCTCATCGTAAACTGAATGTCAATGTTCCCCACCCTCACTAACCCAAATATGTGCATCTCAGATCATTGATGTTCCCAAGGGTTGTGACACACACACACATACACAAACGAACAATTATGGGAATCCACTTGACGACTTCTGATTAGGATGGTGAATTTATGCCACTTTTGCCTTGGGAAGATTCAAAACTAGTTTTAATGATAGTCTTTTCTTTATCATTCAGTTGCAGAGTGAACAGAATTTCATCATATAGACCAATCTTGTGTGAATCAGGAAGTTGCAGGTTATTTGAAGTAGTGAAGATCAGTTAACCTTAATAAATTTGCAATTGAGATATATTCAGACCATTACTCGTGGGTATTATTCTGCCTAGTACTATTCCATAATGGATAAGATTTTATTTTGATAAATCACACAGTGTAGTACAGTAATATTAACTGATGACGTTTCGAGCACAAACTATTGCTCATAATCATATCAAGTTACTCACACAACTTCTTTCCTTCATTTATATACATGTGTGGAATCGACTAGATATTGGAATAAAATTCAATATGAGATAATGTACATTCAGAAATAATAGTACTAGTTGGACTGCAAAAGTAGAATAATAATTACTTGTGACCACAATAATTAATCTGATCAAAATAGCCCTTGAAATCCTAGATTAGAGTATCATCCAATGTCTAGTTAAAGTTTTGTAAACTGAAAAGTTGCAGTAACCGCTCAGTTTTCGTAATCGTCCAAAAATGTATGGACGATGCCTTCATTATGCAGTTGGTCTTAGAACATAGACGTGATCAGTTCTTGACTTCTTGACTATTTCCCTGACTAAAAGTTGTATTTGTGCGTCGGTGGTGCAGCTTGGCCGACGCACACCTTTACCTCCCTCAGCCTGTTATGATGCCGACAAAGAGGGGAGGTTGGGTGTGAGACTAGCAACCTCACCCCAGAAAAAATAAACACCACTGCTACTGAAACTTCAAAGCTATATCTTGAAGCCCAATGTTCCACTGGGAGCGTAAAGGAATTAGAAAAAAAGTGGTGTTTGATTGATATATACTATCACGTCTTTGAGGTGGATTGGCCATACTCTGAGGAAACCATCAAGTGACATCACTAGACAAGCCATTGCTCGAGTGGAACTCGAATGGGAAGCGGCAAGTTGGTCGTCCAAGGGTGACTTGGAGGAGGTTCCGTGAAAAGGAGATGAAAGCATGTGGGCAGACGTGGACACAGGAGAAAACCTTAGCAGAGAACCGAACACAATGGAGACGTGCAACTGAAGTCCTATGTTCCTCTAGGAATTAAAGGAAATAATAATAATAATAATGATAAATAATCACCTCTGTGAAGGCTCCGTACTTGGACATTTGTAATATTGTTTCAGCCTAAGCTGTCATGAGTGATATTTACACCTCCCATTATTACTTGATTTTGTATATTTATCAGTGGTTATAATAATAATCATTGAGAGATATCCTTTATCAGCTCAGAATATGCAAAAGTAAAGTTCTGCTATGTAAAAAAAGGCAGAAGGAGGGGAAGTATCATTAAAAAAATTATTTGACAAACATTTTTCAGGTCTAGTTTCAATTGCCCTTATGAAAAAACATTAGAAATAAATAAAATACATTTAGGCATAGTGAACATGGCGATCAGTCATCATTTATATACGATAAGTGGTTACCTGCAACCTTGTCGTCAACACTCTGGTTTTATTCAAAATTCTCTTACCACCTCTGATCAGTATCTTGTAGTAGTATGACATTCATAAAGTATTTATCTGGTTTTCATGGTAGATCTCACAGTTGCCTTTTTGAATGAATAAAAGCATCATAGACTAATACAACGTACAACGATTTCTCCCACATTATTTGAATGAATTTTATTCAGTTTGGTTAAAGTCTTGAGAAAATTCTATGGCATTCGATGATATTCAACCTTGAGATAAATTAAAGTTCAGTTAAATTAATTATTGTAGTTAGACGAATAACTTGCCTGATCCTTCTTCTAACATCTGTCCTAATTCGTGTGGGATTTTATTTTTAAACAAAGACTCATCTCTCTGTGAATTGATTAGTTTAAAGATGATCCTTATAGGGCTATATTTGTGAACCATCATGTAGTGTTTTGTGTATTATCTTATTATTTATCTTCTTCTTCCTTCTAGCCTCAGTACATCTGGGAACGAAATAAATTTTTATTATTTTAATAGTAATATGAAGCAAACTGACGCGTATGCTTACATATCAGCCAAAAGGTGGTCTCACACAATGCGATCACAAGGGGGTAGAGGTTTTTAACTCCAGAATGATAATATAGTTAAATTAATAAATTGTCATTTCTAAATAACAAATCTTATAGCAATTATAATATTAATAGTAATGTTAACTTTTAAGCAGTGTAGACAAATCCTGAAATGTTACTACTACTACTACTACCACTAATTCCTTTCAAATGAACACTTCAAAAATACCTGTAAGAGTTTTAGAAACTCCATATATTACTGTCGTGTGAACATTTTTCTGAAGCGTAGATCTGACATACACGAACATGCTCCTATGACTCATTATTTCCTAATCCACCATCGATATATTTGACAACTTATTTTCTGGGAAATAAACCTCACGTTATTGCTTCGTCTTGTCTGTGCATTCGTACTTAGACATTTGTATTCCCTGATGAAACTCAGCAATTTGACCTCTTCACTTTATTTTACTTTAGGCTCTTATTGCAGAAATGATACTTACTATAGGGTTGCATGCCAAAGTATGGGATTAAATACCTTGTGACGATTTGTCAGTTTTGTGTTAATTATCAAGCTTTGGTTGGTTACAAAACTGATCAAGAGCTGACATCAATTAGCGAACAACTGGAAAACCTGGGAGTACTGGACAGTTGTTTCGTCCTAGTCTGGACCTCTTCATCAGTACGTACCTACCGAGTTTCAAACCCAGAACTTTCTGGTAAATAGGTGGCCTCGTAGATCATTAAGCCACCAGAACCCGATCCAATGATCCATGAATTCCAACTTCCGTCAATTCGTGACGTATATTTAGCGCAACCGTCAGCCGATGTCACAGGCGAGTAGCTGTCAAGTGTTGGTTGTTTACAACATGCATCTATAAGAAAGAGTCAAGCTAAAAATGTCTTCAGATATTTGTACTTTGAGTTAGTTTTAGATATTTCAGCCCTCACTCCTGGACTACTGGCCAACCTTAATGTATTCATCTTAAGAGTACCAGAAGTTTGTATCTCAGATTTTTTGAGAAATACGTATCTTGTCATTAAATTTATCACGAGACAATATACATGCATAGTCAGCTAAGGCACTACATGCAATTACACACAACCATACAAATAGGATGGATGGGATAAGATGACAGTTTTAAAATCTAATGTAACAGAGTAAAGGGAGAGATTGATAGAGGAAGCTTTGTTTATCGAATCAACTGCAAACACGTGTAATAGGAATGATTCAACACTTGTCCCAGATATCTGGGAAATCCTCCTACCTCCACGACAAGTAGGAGAGAACAAAGGAAACTATAAAACTCAAGTTTCGAAGTTGTGTGATTATAACTGATGTGATTATAAACAAATTGTGTTCGAGACCTTGTCATCCAGTAAATAATAATGTTTCACTGTGGGATATATCTAATAAACGAACTAATATGGGATATTCCTGAGAGGTTGCTTTCTTAGTCATCGGCCTATATTTTAGGTGTTCACCGCTCATTCTTGCTCTTTTTAATTCTATGAAAATTCCCCTGACGCATAATAATTCTACCATAAAACTGAAATGGCACTGATATGACTAGAAGTCAAACAAAATTCCTGATAGCCATACGAACTATATAGATTGAAGTATGCAAAGATGTATTCATCAGAAAGAATTTTTGAATTGACCATATCTGAATTTCAATAGATTTTGTCAGATAAGCTACAAAAAGACCTGGTGAGCACATTGTCCTAAGTTCACTGAAAACAACTTTTCGAGAAAAAGATTTAATGATGAGCTGACCATCATGTAAAAGTGTTTACGAGACAATGGATATCCTCAAAAATTTATTGATAAACACAAGAGAATACCCAATATAAAAGTGACATTTTATACAGTAGAGAAGAAACCCATGTTTCTTAATTTTTGATTCTTGAAGTGATGATATATTTGGAAGGATTCATTACAAAATAAATGCTCCTGTCAAGCGAACTTATCCAACTGCCAACTTAGTCACAATTTACTGAATTAACTACTCACTGAGACAATCTTAGAGTTGACAAGTCCCCTTTTCATGTTACCTCCAACTGCATATACCAATTTATACATACGTAAGAATAGAAAAATAGGATTTGTGGCCGCATATCCCGAAAAACTTGTGTCGGAAAGGTGCAGAAGTCCTTAGTAGTGCGATCATCCACCTCGTGTTAGACGGCGGTCATGCAATCACTACATTAAAATCCTTTAAGATCAATAAAGTTCAAGACGGCTTCAGATTGCTACATATCACTGAAGTATTCGCCATTGACGATTAAAACTGAATTTATGCATCCATAAGGAAACCTTGGTAGTTAGCTGTTTTTCATTTTTGTTAATTTCGTTTTGACATTGCAATTTCTTTATGTATATTCTTGACCTGACCCTTCTTTGACTTCTATTCAACTAAATTATTTGAGTTTGACCACGGATTGATATCAGTTAGAGAACTATTGAAAACCAGGGGGTATTGGAACGCTGTTTCGTCGTAGTCTGGGAATCGTCGACAGTACGCACACACTGCCAGGCCTCTAACCCAGGACTTTCCGGTTACAACAATCCGTGATCAAACTCGTACAAACAAATCTAATCCTTATAAACCGATCACTTGATAATTAATCTGATGCTCGCTAGTGACTTGTTACAGGACTGAGTTTCCCGGAGTTCTAGTGAGAAATCGTGACCAGTGAGGTTCATCCAGTCAAGTGTGAAGATAGATTTCCCGCCAGTGACATTGGTTTGTGATTGAATCGGGTCCCAGTGGCTGAATGGTATATGAGTTTGCCTTGTAACCGGAAGGTCCTGGGTTAGAGCCCTGGCAGTGGGTGTGTATTGTCGATAATTCCCAAACTAGGATGAAACAACCCTCTAGTACCCCCTGGTTTACAATAGTTCTCTAACTGATATCAATCCGTGGGCAAACTCGTATAAACAAATCTAATCCTTAGAAACCAAACTCTTTGAAATTATTTGAGCCTTACTTAAGTGTACTGTTGATTTGACGCCTCCTAGAGTATTCCTTACTAACAAGTTTAGTAACGACTTTCATTTCTTTCCATAATGCTATTTAATCACGTGATATTAATATTCTTCAACTTTATGATCAGAAACTAAAATATTCGAATATTTTATATATTGACATTAAATTGTTTATGGGTTCATGTAATTGTGGGAGAAACCAACAAAAGATAATGACGTTATTTTATTCTCCTCAACATTCTTCTTGTTGCTTTATTCAAATTTTAGTTTTCGCAATGGTTTATATTCATTGTATTTCAGGTGAATGTCTCTTTTGATTGCACACTAGTCAGTAACTAGTGTAATGTGTCTAGTCCTATCTTCGGTGCAGACTGAATTCTATCAGTCATGTTTGCAATGTGGCCACCATGCTAGGTGGCTCGCCATTACGGTGCACTGTGAATTGTTGGTATTAGATGGTTGGAGGCAATCGGCAGGAAGCCTTGGACCCAGGTTTCGTGCTAGTTGGCACTCATCAGCAAGGCGTATCTGCAACCTTGAAGGAACCGATATGCCTTCTGAGATTCTAACCTGCGTCACCCAGTGCTGCAGTCAGAGACGTTACCACTATTCAGGCTCGCGACTGACCTCCTGTAGGACTGTTTCTTTTGCCTATGAAACAGTTTTAATGATCTGTATGTTTGTTTAATTATTTTTTCACATTCATTTAGCAGCATGCTAAGATCTGAAATGTCTTTTCTTTTTGTCTTCTTCCTTTCTATAGACGACAACATATGGAATATCAAATGTACACAGAAATAAACAAAATCAAGAAAATGTGTCTTCATTAACTAGTCGTTTTTTAAATCGTATCATCCAGTCATTCCATCTTCGATCGCATAATCATCACTAATCCATTTCATCAGCATCTTCATGATTGACAAATTGATCAGCAACCGGTTAAACTAAGAAAATATCTTTCTTTATCACCTTTGAAATGCATCGCTTTTAAACAGTACTACTAGTGTATAAAAAGTATTACTTTTATATAATGATTATAATTAGTTTGTTATTGGTAGCGCTGAAATACTTGTGACAGAATATCTCATATATATACTCTATGCAATCTCCTATTTTATACTATGCCAGTACAATATTATGGTTAACAACTAACACCTTTTGTAAATGTGAATATATAAATAAGTGTATCAATTTCTCATACATAGTTGCACAAGTATACCAGATTTTGTAACTTACTATCATTATTATTATTATTATTGTTAATTTTTTTCTCCCCCTTTTTTTCGTTTCTCTCTTTATTTACAGAGTGTTTTACCTGTATGTACATAAACTGATTGATTAATGGGCTTAGGCGTAGGGTATATTTCTTAGCTTAAAGAATACCATGTATGAAATGAAACGTTTTCAATGGCGCTACATATATATATTCTTTGTATATTATTTTCTTTTCCGATTAGGTTAACTAAGAAATAAACAATGCATTCATATTTACGCCATATTTATTTTCTATCAATTTGTTTGTACTGATTTTCACTAATTTATTTTTTTCTCTTGTTGAGTTTAGTGCCTTGTTTTTTATTTTTCAAAAGAAAAGAATTATTACTGTAATAGTGTATTTCTAATTATTGAAAATTGATGCAGTTCAATTACGCATAGCATGTTGTGATATACTACTGTAATGACTGAAGACAAGGGCCAAGCAACAGATCGTTTATTTTGAGAAAATCGAGCGATATTTATAAATTTTCATGTACATTATTATCAGCGGAGAAGCGGCGTCTTCTGATTGGTTGTTGTCTTGCTGAAGGTTATTCTGTACTGCTTGTGACCGTTTCCTAGAAAGTTAAGCCATATATGTCTGCGAATCGTATTTGCACACGTTAAGTCTGCTGTGATTGGTTGGTGAGTTCCTCCAGGTTAAGCTTTGTTTATTGTTTTTTTCTGATGACCCCGATTCGGGAAGTGAACATTGACGTAAATATTGTTGTCTACAATTTTCGCTTGCAGACAGCTCTCACCACACTATTACACGATATTTTTTGCTTCCTGATCCCATTGGCCCCATTGGTGAGGTGAAAATTTCCAACCCTAAGACTAATGGTTTCAACAGACCGATTGAAGTCTGCTCATCAGGATTTCATTTTATATTGGCTTCTTTAGAATAAGTGATTTATGATCAATGAATTGTTTGTGAATGTCAATAACTCCAAGGTTAGATGGACTTAGAAGTATTTCTTTTCAAATAAACTGTATTTGTTGAAGATTCAATTACACAATACAAAAATTATAAATGAGAGCGCCAGAATATTAATTCGGAGGCACCGTTATTTTGTAGTCAGACTTTCACTATTTCTCAGCCTATCAACCTAATTTTCAAAATACCAGTTACTGTGTCCATTCAATACTTCAAAAGCATTGACTCATGTAGAAGCTTCACAAGTGTGTAGTATACTGAGATATGAAAGTGAATAAAACTCACAAAAAAGTCTGATGACCTTTCCGATTATATTTAGTAGTCTATAATCTGAACGATTTCGCTTCTTGAAGTTAGACAGGTTAGATATTGTACATCAATCACTCACTTTTTCTTCCAAGGTGTTCTAATCGCTGGGTTACCTAGCCATCCTTATCTAAGAAGAGCATGTTGCTTGTAATATCTCTGTATCACCAACCGACACTTCAGAATGTTGGAAGTTCGTTTTTCACCTAAACATTTTCCTCAATTATAGGGGAGCATGCAAGATAAGAGCTTCGCATGAATTACCAAGTAGCTATGAGTGTGAACAAACAATCTTCTCTTAGAATTTGTATGTAAAACGCTGAGAATCAGTAGGCCAAAAAATAAGACCAAAATCATATTTTAGTTATACATTGTTGGATAAGTGTGTCTGGTAAGGTGTGTAACGTATGGCTTTAAATTTCATAAAGTCATACACCATTTATATTTTCATTCTTTGCGTTTCGAGTAGAACATAGGGCTTCCAGTTTCAGATTTCCTGTAACGATGGTGTTGTTTTAAACAGATGGGATGGGTAGTCCCATATCCAACCTCGCCTCTTTACTGGAATAGTAAACTCGGCGATGTTCAGCAGTGCATCGATGGCAAATAGAACCAGGGCCTCCCGTTTGGCTGGCCAGTATTCTACAATTGAACCAACGATGCACAGATACTGAATGACGCCCCTCATCTTTATTCGATGTATTGCACAGTGGAACAGTATTATTTGCTGTTCATAATCATATCAACTGATCACGAATATGAACAATATATTGCTTTCGAAACGTCAACTAGCAAATAATATTGTTTCACTGTGTGACATATCCAATGAACACGAAGATTACATACGACTACTATACTGCCCAAGTTTTATACATATTAATGTCTTTCATTTTTGTTAATAACATTATTTCATTATGAACCTCTCATTGCAGTCTTACTATCTCCTCTTTAATACATACCACTTTATTCTAGCCACTCACCTGACACCTTTTATAACCTTGAACTGACTTGTCAATTTTCCTACCCCACATTCTACGAATCTATTATGACTAATAACCACCATTATCTCTTATTTTACAATGTTATGTAGTCGACTTCAGCCTAGCACGTTTAACACACAAATACTATTTATTTTGACACCCATAACTAATGTTATTCTACGTAAAAAGTGTTTCCGCCGCATAACTGGCCATTATTGTAACGACAACAAATATTATATTTTATAATGGTAAGAACCTGAAGAGGAGAAATTATTGAAAAGAATATTCTTCGTTCAGATTGACTTTTAATTCATGACAGGGGAATACTTCACACTATTAAATCTTGTAATAAGAATATAGATGATTACGTGTCAGTGGTAGACCGCTCGCCGACCACGCCTTATGTGGCCCATGGCTCGGCCCTCGGCCGACACACTCGTAGACCTTGCTAAGCTGGTAAAGAGGGAAAGTTGCCCATGAGGCTGGCAACCTCACCTCGAGTGGGGCATCCAAGGGAAACATAGAGGTGGTCGTGAGAGATCAAAAAGTATGTGGGCAATCGTGGGATATCAGAGAATAGGACAACATGGAGACGTACTTTTGAAGCCCTATGTTCCCTTCGGAACTCAAGGGAACAATATAATACTAATAATAGAATTCATGGGCCATTGGGTTTCCTTCTAATGATTGAATAATAAACGGAATCACCTTGTAACCTGATCTCCGGTTGTGCCATATATACGTACAAGTCAAGAGTTTCCAACTAGGATATAACAGCTGTCAAGTACTTTCACTAACCGATCTCATTTCGTGATCTAAACTACAGCATGTATTGACTAGGAAACTTTATTATGCTTCTCTACTATTCTGCCTAATATGAATACAACTCTACTGCTTGAAAATTAATTCTTTGAAAAGAATTATCCCCTTGCTAATTATATATTTATTAACGTAATTGAGTTGGCTCACCCTTAACAACACTTTATTTATCAACGCTGACACAGATTAATGAACATGAAATACAACCATCCAGTGCAACAAATGTGACCCTACAAAAATTCAGTTTTACATTAGTAATATTATGGAAGTGTGCGTCGGTGGCATAGCGGTTAGGACGCTCGCCGACAATGCACATGTGCCGGGGTTCGATCCCCGACCAACGCACTCCCTTACCTCGCTAAGCCAGAAATAATGCTGGTGAAGAGGAAAGGTTGGGCATGTGGCAACCCCATCCTGTAAAATAAACACTGCTACAGAAACTTCAGGCCACTAGCTTGAAGCCCTATGTTCCACTGGGGAACGTGAAGGAAAAAAATATTACGGAAGAATTACTCCTGTTTCATAGTAGAGACTTTATGTGATATGTACACACTGATGGTATACTTCAACGCAAAGTCGTGAATTTGTATATATATATATATATATATATATATGCATCGTCCACTTACTCCGATAATTAACACTATCAGACTTCTACCACATGTAAGTTATTTTTTAGAGGGAAGAAATCATTTTTAGGTATAAAGTTTATTTATTTATCGTCAAAATAACATCTTGACTAAAGTTCAGATATTATTACATGCTCAGCAGGTTGAAAAGTTAAAAATATGCTGCAAAAATTATAAAGGCAACAACATGATAAAAGAAGATAAAGCGCTGAGCATTATTTAAAAAAAGGAAGAAATATTAATGATCATAAATACATGCTTCTATCGGTTGTTGTTTTTTCTATATATATAAAAAAAAGAGGATTATGTATTCATCCAATGAGAGAACCAGTCAATTTTTGTAGTCCATGCCCCGGAATACGCTTCATTGAACTTATGATGAAAATATTCCAGGGCTTCTTTTTCATTGTCAATATCAACAGCTAAAGTTTTTCTAACATATTCTAAATCACATACTGATGTCAACTCAGGTAGACCAGACGGTATCATCATAGCTAACAAAGTCAGTATAAGATTTGAATGTTTACGTAGCAGTAGATAGGCTTTACCACAGAGATCAGTGAATTCTTGAAAGTGTATATTATTATAGGCATGATTAGTATAACCCCCACCACCGGCACCACCACTAATACTACTATTACTGTTACTAATAGATATTGTACTATTCACAGTTAAATTACTATTTGTCATTGTACTTGTTGTTGTTGATGGCGTTGTAAACATTGTTGCACCAGCAGCAGCATCTGGATTACCACGTGCTATTACAGTAATAAAGTCTTTTGTCAATACAAATGGTACACGTTCACGTGTAATACCGAATTTTTTCTTACGATTATCTAATATATGTCCAAAATCAATATGAAATAATCGACCAGTTGAATCAACCATTATATTATCTGGATGTCTATCACGTATACCTAAAATAAATGTAGCAATACAATAACCAGCACATGACATAGTGAATGTACGTATCATACGTTCATAGACAGAATTTTCACCAAATGGTGATTGATTCATTTGTCTTGCTCTTTGTTTAGCATGTTGTGATAACCACTTGTATAATTGCGTTGAATCAATTTGTAAAGCAGAACGTAAACGTTCACCTTGTATAGACATAACTGTACGTGAATCACGGACAGCTTCAATAATTCCCATTTCATAACCTGTTGCAAAACAACCATAAGATGTTAAACACATATCCATGCCTTCTTCTTTCCATATACGATCCATTACCTAAACAAATAAACATATATATACAATGCATGAATTATTATTTGAAAAAAAATGGATGTATTAAATGTTCAAGCTTTATACTACAAATACATCAAATGTCTGAACCACCTGCAACCAACTTCTGTTTAGACAGTATAAATCTAATGTTTAACACTTTGATGTCAACACGGTGATCTACAGCCATTTTTGCGTTCTTTGTGTTCCCAGTGAAACATGAGGCTTCAAGCGTTTATAGTTTCAGTAGCGGTGAAGTTTTGGCTACATAACAGGGCTGTTAATCTCAAGCTCACTATTCTTTCTTTTCCGCACTCATTATCGGCTAGTAAACTGTG